TTAGACATTAACCTGTACTCTATTCAAACTAGCAGTGATTTTTCTTCTATGTTGCTATCTTTGCCAAAGTTATGTATATAAAACAGAAGCATTTGAAGGGTAAATTGTGATGTGAACATTATTTTGTACAAGTCTTGTGAAACTGCAAGAACCGCTTAGAGAGGAACTGTATGTATCTTATGTGGCATGTGGAACCTACCCATGAAGACGATCTCATGCCTCTCTTTGGCCCATCTCATGCTGAAATCTCAAAAATGTGCTTCTTGGATTCTAGTATTTCGCTTTCTGGTCCAGTCACGATGCACTGGGCTTTTCATTTTAATGCTGGAGTATTTGTTCAAGTCCATAGACTTTGCATTTTTAATCTTCCTTAGAACAGTGGTGAATAATGGCCCTTGGCAGGAGATAATGAAATTTTCTTAATTTATATTTTCAAGCAGAAGCTTCAATTGAAAATGGCATCCTGTGGCCTGGAGACATAGCTCTAGTGCAAGTTTCAGGGGAGCTATAATAATAATGCAGTGCCAGCGGTGACGGAGAATGATAGGACAGTGAAGAAGTAATTTAAGAAAGAAAAGAGAATGTACCAAAGCTTTATTGTAGCATATCTAATGATCTGCTGAAGATTCCCAATAGCTTTTGGAGCATGACAGGGGAAACTAATGTTATCTTGCCAAAACAGAAGCCCCTGCTTAATCAGCAGAACAAGATTATTGATTAAAACACCTCACACAATAGATTGCACATAGAATCTCATCTCCATACATTACAAATGATAAAGCACAATAACGGCCATAAGATAATAAAAAAAGAGCAAAAGCAATTTGTTGGGAATTGTACAAATCAACATTAGAGTTGAAATGCAAACAAATTATTGTGGGAAGTACAGCTGTCCTTAGAGCTCAGCAAGAAGGGGCTTGGCTACACAGTGAGGGGAAGATGCAGGCTAACAGCGCTGCTGAAACTAGTTTACTTCTTTTTTTTATGTAGTCATCTGAAGTGTGAAAGGGCCATTCCTCGTTTGCAGTCTTTCATCCTGAGGTGAAAGGAGTTCAGACACTGTACTGTAACTGTTAATTAAACACTCCATTTGATTTTTAGATTACTTTAAGCGATGCATCTGCATTATGAAAATGTAACCTTTCTTCGTTCATACTAAAATACCGAAGAAATGACTGTTAAGAGTACTCAGTTACTCCTTGCATTCACACGAACAGTGATGTTTCCTACATTCTCCTTCGCAAAACTCATGCTGTGTTAGCACAGGAACTTGAATCATCATTCTTTCAGCGCTACTGTTTGTCTTTCCCTAAGTCGAGTTTCATACTTAATCCGTGCATTACTTTTTCTACATCAGCTGTTTTTTGCAGATCTGCTTTATTTCCTCGTAAATGACAAAGTCACGGTGTCATAAATCTTTGTGAATATCTTGAATGTCTCAAGTGTGGAGATATTTCAGTGTCAGATCATATGAACTTTAAGATTGTACATAAAAATCTGTGAATTTGCATAGTTTAAAATATGCCAAGAAAGTATGCAGTTAACTAGATTACAGAACACTTAAATGATACTTAAAACCAAAGAACACTTAAACACTAGGTTGCAAACACTTAAACATTAAAATGTTTGTGATTTGACTTCTTAAATTCCCAGCAACAACAAATGCTAGTTTGTACCAGTAGGAACAGTTGTAAAACAGTTTGGTTAGATGAACTGAATGAACAGAATGTTGTGTAGTAAAAATAACGCTGGTTAAAATGCATGAAGGACTTCAAGTTAGTTGGCAAGTCTTTTTGTTCTTTTGTTTGTTTCTTTTTGTTTTTGTTTTCTGATGGTGTCTGGGCCAGTTTTTCAAATATCCGGGAATTTTATTTCTGTTAGATCTTATTTTGGAGAATACCATGAAGTAGCCACGTTCATAAAGTTCAAAACGAAATAGAAATCTGCCGGGGGATTATGTTGCACAGATTGTAGCAGTGTAGTATGGTCTTCGTTGGACATAGTGTTTCTAAATGTATAGATTTCCCAAAATTGTGAACCTTTGCTAAAGTGGTAGTAAGGTAACTTAATATTCTGTAGCTCTATAAGATAAGATGCTGTTTTATATAGAGTATCCTTTGGCCAATATATCTGACATAAAGAATGTCAGCTGAGCCCTTTAGCAGTTCGTAGAATGGTCTTTGCAGGCAGCAGCAGAAGCATAGGTCAATAACTAATACTGAAGTTAGTGTCCCAGGTTTTATAGGGGGAAAGAAATAACAATTTTGAAGAAGGAAGACTACTTTGTATCCAGAGAACAAATGACAATACTGTAAATTCTCTGAATGGCTGGTCTCAGAACTACCTCTTCAAAGCCCAAATATCCTTCATCTCTTCTCTAGAACCCTTGAATTAGGACTGAAAACTGCTCTAATTGCTGTTGTTTATGACCAACTTAACTGAGTAACAAACAGTTACTTGAATGTGGATTTTGATTTTTTATTTTTTTTTTACATGTGAATGTATAAATCAAGATACTTTAATTTGAAATGTTAGAAGCATATGGAAATCAGGATCTTATGCCAAAAGATTACAAAGTTTTTAAAAATGCAAGCAGTAGTTTATTCCTAAATACAGGTCAGTGATTTGGATGTAAAATCTTTATTCTTTCAGTTATACACATAATTGCTCTTGCTCTAAATGGGGACGCTTTGAGCAGTACTACTGTGTACTTCAGCAGCAGGCATAGATCATTGCATTTCAGAACTGTGATCTTCATTTTGGCCAAAGGTGAGCAGGAGGTGACCATATGCAGAATACATAAATTCTTACCTATAGAAATAGTCAATAGTCATAGTTTTTACAAAGTCAGCAATTCAGTGCCTGAAATTTGATACTGGCTCTTACTGTAATAAGACAAAAATAGTGCACTTCTGATTTATTATCATTATACATCCTTTTGATACAAGTTTGAAACTGATCTTCATCATTCCTCCCAATGTGTATCCATTTTATTTTGTAATAAATCAATATTTCTTTCTTAATTGCTGCTCTTTCAAGTGTAAGATGAAATTTTCATACAGCTCAAAGCTGTGGAAGCCATTACATTGAGTGATGCACTACAGAGAGTATTTTTGTAGGAATGCTTATGGCTTCATTTTAATTTAAAGAAATTAATTACAAAATATTACTTTTTGTGTGCTGGTTTGTCTGACTTCAGCTGTGGGGTTTAAAATCCTGGTAGAGTGGTAAGACCAAAGAGGTCTGTGAAGTTTAGGATCATGTTGCCTCCTCCTAGTTCTGCAGCCTCCTCTTACATCATGCACCTGAGAGCAGTGCAGTGACTCTGCATCACTTCCACATGGCTCTGAAAACCAGTGTGCATTCTGCTTTCTCCAAACCCTAGTACACTGTGTGGGCTGTTGCAGTGAGTGATGTTGGCAGCCTGAGTGGCACAGTACTGGGCTGACTGACAAGTGATGGCCACAAAGTGAGCTCCTGATCATCTACCTGCCTGCCTATCTTGGCTTGTGTGGGTTATTTGCAATCAGTTTTGAAATTATGAGCATCACAAGACAAAATAAATCGGTTTTTTTTTTTTTTTAATAAAAAAAAAAAGAACAGAAAAAAAGACAAATGATCTAATAAAGTCAGAAAAGATTTTGCTTCTGAGTTTACTCTGCAGGAGTCGCAGTTTGTTTGAACCTGTTCACTGCTAGCTTGATTAGAAGGTAAATAGGAACATTGTTTGTATCTGAGTTCTTCAAATAGGCTTGTTCTACTTCTCATGAGATAGCAAGAATCACTCTTATACCTGTTGGCAAAATACAGCTGGAGAAAGCTGTTGGTAAAAGATAGATTATTTTAGCTTGAGATTTGTTATTCAGTGAGTGTGGGAAGTAGTAGGCAATAGAGAAGCTGATGTACAGCTGGAGTCAAAGGCTAGGTTATTACTTAAGTTCAGACCTCTCTTATTCAGTTTGCTGACAAACAAAAGTAACCCCTGAGAAGATCAGCCAAACTCCCTTTTCTTTTAGTCACCAAACTCCCTGATCTTCTCTTTTCCATTGTAATACTTCTGTTTTTTTCTATATTTCTTTCTGACCATCTCTTCAGAGTTAGGTGATAGATTTTTTCATTTAAAATTCTAATCTTATATTTGGCCTGGAAGTCACAGATAATTATTAAAAAAAAAAAAAAAAAGACACACAAACACACAAAAAAAAAACACTTTAAAAACCATTAAACTCATAAAATTATTATGGCTGGAGGCACTGCAATGAATTTGTTCTTTGCATCAAAATGCGTTGGCTTCTATTGTTCAACAAATCATTTATATTTCAGTATTTTGTCTCCTCTACAATACTTTGTAATTAATTTTCTTGCAGTTCTTCTTAAATTTTTTTCTAATTTCCTCAGACGGTCATTCTTTACTTCTTCCTGTAACTTAACAGGGGAAGCATAAAGAACACCAATTGCTGTTAAAATAATTAAAATTGAAATACTGATGTTCTTTGTCTGCAATAGCTCTTCCAACCAAAATCATGGTTACCTTCAATCGCAACAAACATTTCTCTGAGAAATAAAGCCATTCAAATGTGTATCTGGAGAGATTAAAGGAATTGGTCCTTTGTGTGAATGTACTTTACTCACATTTACACTTCTTTTTTTTTTTTTTTTTTTTTTTTAAGTTGTATATCAACTTAGTATTTTGCTTTGACTTTACTGAGTAGTAGTGTCAAGTCAGTATATGTTTGGGGCAGCTATGCTGGCTACTTGAAATGAGTGATATTTGAGATACCAATGATACTCAAATTTAAGAGTGTTAAGCCTGAACTGAAGTATTGTCTTGAAGCCTCGTTTATGGACTTTGACTGATCTAGTATTAATTAACTTTGTTGTCTTATGGATTGAACTGCCCAAGTGTGAAGAAAGTTAGTGCTGTACATAGCACTTTAGCATGAACTTGCAAATTAAATGTAATCTTAAATTAATTAGCCTGCTTTCTTTTCCCATTACAGGTGCAACAACCGAACACAGTGTATAGTAGTTACTGGGTCAGATGTGTTTCCTGATCCTTGTCCTGGAACATACAAGTATCTAGAAGTTCAATATGAATGCGTTCCTTACAGTAAGTATAATCTTTTTATTCTTATTCACTTCCCCTGGCCCTCACAATTAAAGCTGGAGTGCTGTTCCATGGAAATGAAGCATATGTTTATGGCCCACGGATCCATTATGCATGCAGAGCACTTACAGACTAGGGCCTCCAATTAGCTTCACGAAGTGTGGAAGGAAGCCATGGTGCAATGCTGGCCAAGTGTCTGTCTATGTTCTTAAGTGTTTGGCTTTTAAGGCTACTGTTTTTCCAGAAAACAAACTCAAATTAGCTATTCAATAGGCCAGATAGAAATTTGTACTTTTGCCCAATACAAGTTGCTGACAAATTGGCTTGGCTCACAGACTTCTAAAGAAGAAATTGACTTCAGTTTTAATCATGATCTACTTGAAAGGCTCTCATGGTGAATTTCGGTGCACAGCAAAACCCAGCACTAACACTCCTGCTCAGGAGGTGTTGTAAGAAGACTGTGCTTTAGGGGCACATTCATTAAGTGAACTCACTATGATTTGTGATTCATAGTGAATAATTCATCACTAAGTAACTAAACCACATTTCTTGAAAACAGTGGGAAAAGGAGCAAGAAGAGTTGTTCACTTTTAATAATAATAATAAAGCAAAAAATGTGAATTGTGTCTTCAAATCAGATGTCAAAACAGAACCATTAACAGAAAAAAGTAAATACTGAAAACATTGAGATAAAAAAATAAAGTAATAGCTATTTCAGCAGTTTTGTACAACATTCTTTCTAATGCCAGAATTCACTAGTTTTAGACATGCTACTTATTTTCTTGTAATAATTAATATTTTTTGTTTTTTTTTTTCATTGACATGTATTCACGTGTATAAAATTTCTGCAGATTCAACACTTTTAACTGGTTTTGCTTTCTTGTAAGATCATTCTTTGCAGTGACTAATCTCTCATCCTGTAACTCCACAGAGAAATAGCTGTGCTTGCAATGGAATTTGAGCAGTGCACTGATCATTCCCTTAAGTTATTATTAAGTGTGAATCTCTTGATCTGCAGTAATCCTTAACCAAAGTCACATTTTCTGTTGGTACAGGAAACAGGCCAACTCTGAGATGCAGAAACACTGTGGTGACAGTATACATCCAAAAAGGAAGGAAATGAGTTCTGGCATAAGCAAAGCTATGTCAAAACTGTCCATAGTGTTTACTGCTCAGTTTTTAAATTAAGTTGTTTTAAACTGAAATACTGTTCTGTATTGCTTCACCACATTGATCATTCACTGTTGTTAAAGGCCAAACACAGATCATCTGTTTTCTCTTCATTTCTGCTGTGTCATTGTGAAATGGATGCTTGCTGATTTTTTTTCTGTACCATTTGTAGGATTGGAAGCCTACTGCATACAGTGATCCCAAATATCATTCCTCCTGTGTGTAGTATTGTTGGCTTGTTATGCCTGTTCTTCTTGTGCCACTTTTTAAGAGCGATGTCTTACCCCAGTCTAACCAAAATTTTGTTCCACAAAGATCACTTTTACTTTAGCTCTATTCTCATTTCCAAATTCTCAGAAAGAGGGCAGTGCAACTGTTTCCAAATGATGGGGTCAGTCATATGACAAGAGATCACGTTTCCAGTTCCAGTAGGCTAGTTCATAGAGAAAAGCTATAATGCAAATAATGTTCAAACAATTTTTTATGCTGTTTTAGGAAGAGAACTGTGGATATATTCTACCAATTGGGTATTGCTATCTACAGGAATCTTTTCTTTTCCAGTTTTCAGAAGTATAGCGCGGCCTACCCTGTACTCTAACATGTAGCTATTCTGCTTTTAAAATGTTTATTTTTGTTTACTGTCAATTGCATTGGCCTGCCCCTTGAATTCTGTAATTCTATGTCTATCATAACTCAGGATTCTGGATACTTCTTGTCTTTCCAAGTCCGAGATTTGGAGTTTGTTAACTGCACCATGTACAGTGATGACACTACACCTTTAATTCCAGAATTGTAAGAGGAGTCAAGTGTTGTTACAAGCATCAAAAAAGGTTGACAGCTATTAGAATCAGTTTTGAAGTTTAATTTTAAGCCTCATAGTGCTGCCGTTTTGATTATTGACCATCTTTTTTCCGTGTCCCACAAAGCTTGTCCTGATATTCTTGCAAGTCTTGATCAACATCCATTATCAAGTCTGATAATTTTTTTTCCCTTACTTGTTCCAGGGCTGCCCTTCTAAACATATGGAATGACTGAAATCATTAGGTTTGCAAAGAAGATGGGATAGGCTTTTGTGGGTCTAGGAAGAGAGGTGTTTAGTCATCACAACGCTTCTAACCAAAGTTCAGTTCTGATTTTTACTTTATCTGATTTTACCTTCAATTAATACACAAAATATGCTATGTTGACAACTTTCAGCTCATGAGAGATTACAACTAGCAGTTGTTACTTTTGTGATAAAAGTTGAGAGCTCTTACATGTTGGAGTTGGTGTCACCCTTGTACAAAATGCAGTTTATGAGCAACTCTTATTTTCTGGCCTTCAGAAATATATAGCTGCTTTGCTATCCATGCATATTGACTGAGCTTTCTGTGGGCTCAGTATTCATTGTCCTCATAAGAATGTACTTAATGAAAAGCTTACTTTTTTGCATCTTGTAATGTAGAACTGTTCAGTAGTGTTTTTCTAATCCTGTTTAGCTGAAAAAAAAATCTATTGAAATACTCAGTTGGATCTCCAACAAAACTAAAATTCTAGACAAATTTGATAGGCATTGCTTTGTCTTAAAATAAGAGTGCTATTGATTAAATTACAAAGAAATTGAGAGTATCATACTTGACATTTCTCTCAGTTCTGCTTCGCAGTGTATATTGACACTGACTGAGTAACAGAAGTCTGCCCTTTCATTAAGAAGTACATCAAAAGTACCATTTTGTACATCTGTGCATTTTTATTTTACGCCTTTTTTGGACTCAAGAATTCAATAGAAAATGTTTTAAAGTGCTTTATACTCTCTCTGTCTGTATTGATTGGACTTTGCAGCATTTATTTATTTCAGTAAGCCCATCTGTCCCTGAAAACTGTACAGCTGTACACCAATGCACTCTGAGAAGATGTGCCAGTAACGATTTTAGTTATCCCTATCTTTTTCACACTCTCCTATTACTAATTCTAAGTAGGTACAGTATCAGTATTGCTCTTTGGCAAGGAATAAGCTCATACATGAAAATTCACAAATAGAATCATCTGTAAGTCATTAACACTGAATGTGAAACTCAGAAACTTGCTTAAGAATGCATCTTCTCTTTACTGAAGAATTAGAAAATGTAGAAAAACAGTTGTTACCTAAAGATGCACAAATGAACAAAGGCTAGGAAAACTACTGCTCAGTTTGACAATGTTCCTCCTCCCACTCCCCTCACAGAGTTTTGGAATTGTTCCCCAAACGAACACTAGGCCGGCTCAGTCAATGTCATTCTCCCAAAATAACCATATTTAATTTTGTTAAATGAAACTGAAAATCCAAAACTTCATATGGAACATACAAATACATTTTTCAGGTTAATACCATAATACTGAAAATGTAATAACTGTGCAAATAGTTTTGATACACTTCCTTGGTATCAGCAGTTATTGTTACACAGATTGGTGCATCTGTCATTTTTCAGGTCATTTTATGAAACTAGGAGAACATATTTCAAAGGCTACTGAGTATGTGAAATAGATTTTATTGCAAATAATTATTGGAAAGCTATTTACTATCTGGACTTCAGCTTCCTGTAATAAGTTCCATAAAACTTCCTTGGGGAGAAATTGCTATAGTAATGTAACTTTGTTAATTGGGTTTGATTTATATTTTCCATGTGTGGTGGTGGAATGGATATTTGTTTCAAACATTTAGTATGACTGTCCTCGCATACTAGCTTGCTGTTTCTGGCTTAATCGATGATGCTGGAGAATATTTGAATGAGCTAAATGTTAATTTTTTTCTTCTCTTCTTGCTTACTGTGCTTTTGCTTCCTTTTTCTAGATGTTTTTGCTTATTCCTTCTAGTGTGATTTTGCAGTTATAGATAAAGAAGTGGCAAAAGTTCTCAAGATTACATACAGACAAATAAAATGGGGCTAAGGAGAGCTAAAGGATGCAAGCTGCTTTCTTTACAAGAAGTAAAATTTGAGGGAATATGGGGGGAAATTCAATACGCACGCATACATACCTATATAATTCATATACTGTGTTTTGGATTTATAGTTATCTAATTCATATAATAAGTATATGTGCACTAGCACATATATGATATATTAATGTGTCACTCTTAAAAGTCAACTTGATAGCATTATGCTTTGAGTTTGAGAAGAAAAGTGTATCTAGCATGCATTAGTAAAGTCATTCATTATTTATTCAGGTTCACTAAGTGAAACAACATGCCAACATATCTGTATTGCCTCCTTAATCTACAAAAATGATTGATCCATGTTCACTTATGTAACCATAGAATCTCTCTCCTGCTAGGTTTTCCTGTTGTCTGTTTCTCTTTATCCAATATAGTGCAGTTCTTATTCTCCCTATATTTAGCGTCTGTTACTAATTTAATCTTTAGATTAATAGTCAATTTATGTTAATCTTCTTTCTTTTTTCCTTGCACTTTTTTATTTTTCTTCCGATGCTTAAAATAGAAGTGGAGCAAAAAGGTAAATAACGTATACAGTCCAAACCCCAGCTCCTTGTTATGTGCCTTATGGATGTTAACCTCTTCCCTTCCCCTCCCCACAACACTCTTATATTATGATAATCAGCAGGATCTCATAAGTACACCTCATAAAGAAGTCGACTGTTTGCAATAAAGTGACTTGGCTGCTTAAAGTAGGTGGCGGGGTATAGTGTCTGAAATACTTGGGCTGGAGGGAAGACTCCCTTGCTTTTTTCTCTCCCTTTCTCTTTGTCTTTCTTTCCCTCTATTTCTCTCACCCTTGGGTAAATTCTTGTTAATAAAGTGTCATCTTGCCTGGCTTCCAGAACCCTCTCCATAGCATGCCATGGTTACAGGGTTTCCTGGTCTGTTTCATTCATTGCTTTGGTTGTGTTTTGTTTTATCTGCTCCTAATTGCTTTCTCTATATACCTGATGATTTGTTTTGTTCCTTTATTTTTAATCGAGGCACCTCCTTTTTCAGCCTCACCACTTCTTAAAGTTCTAAACAAGTCGATGTGATTTTTTTTTGGACTGAAATGACCTAGCACACTACTGCACACCAGTTAAAAGCTCTGGAATGTTAATGTGTACTCACTAAAAGTCTAAGATGAAAATGCAAGAGTAGCTCTACATTTTCAGCTGTCTGTGTATGCCATTGAGCCTTGATCTGTACTAGTGAAAGCTGTTCCCATCCACTTTCCAAACTGGTACAGCAAGAACATGGTAACTTTAAGAAAAGTGGATGATAACGGGTGATAATTGCATTAATTATAACATACGGTATTATCTAGTGCCAATTAAATTGATTTTTTTTCTTCCTGACACAGTCATTATGATTTACCTACTTTTTTCTTTTTTCTTTTATTTTTTTCTTTTTTTGGATTATGAGACAGTTTTAATTTGACATAATTCTTGTCTTACTTCTCTCTGTGACTGTTAGTTTTTGTTTGCCCGGGAACGTTGAAAGCAATTGTGGACTCACCGTATTTATATGAAGCTGAACAAAAAGCAGGTGCTTGGTGCAAAGATCCTCTTCAGGCTGCAGATAAAATATACTTCATGCCATGGACTCCGTATCGCACTGATACTTTGATAGAATATGCTTCTTTGGAGGACTTCCAAAATGGACGCCAGCAGACAACGTATAAACTCCCAAATCGAGTGGATGGTACTGGATTTGTAGTATATGATGGCGCTGTATTTTTTAACAAGGAAAGAACTAGGAACATAGTAAAATTTGACTTAAGGACTAGAATTAAGAGTGGAGAGGCCATAATCAATTATGCTAATTACCATGATACTTCCCCATACCGATGGGGAGGAAAGACTGACATTGACTTGGCAGTTGATGAAAATGGCTTATGGGTAATTTATGCTACGGAGCAGAACAATGGGATGATAGTAATTAGCCAGCTGAACCCCTACACCCTACGTTTTGAAGCAACATGGGAGACGACATACGACAAACGGGCAGCATCCAATGCATTTATGATATGTGGTGTCTTGTATGTTGTCCGGTCCGTGTATCAGGACAATGAGAGTGAGACGGGCAGGAACTCCATCGATTACATCTATAACACCAGGTTGAGCAGAGGAGAGCACGTGGATATTCCTTTCCCTAACCAGTACCAGTACATTGCTGCAGTGGATTACAACCCCAGAGACAACCAGCTCTATGTGTGGAATAACAACTTCATTCTCCGATATTCTTTGGAATTTGGCCCACCTGATCCTGCCCAAGGTAAGAGTTGATTTTTCTGACTTTCTTATTCTCATTGTGCATCTATTCGGACAACTATTTCAGATCTCTTTAGTCTTAGACTTAGCTTTTAGCAGAAATGCAAAGAGGATTGGTCTCTGCACAGCTGAGCAGTGCAGTGTTACATTGGTGCAAAGAAAATTTACAGTACTTGTAAAGAGAGAGAATTATTTCATTTAATTTTATTTGGCTTGTGTTTTTGTTTTGTTTTGTTTTGTTTTGTAAAACTGTTTAGCTTTTCTATGTTTTAGAATTACTTACTTTATACCATTAGTTTGACCTTCTATAGATAAAATAAGTTTGAGTTCATTCACACTGAGCTCAAAGCCTGTTCCCTTTGGTTCTGTTACCTGCCTTCTGAATTGATTACACCACATATGCAGACCTTTTAACTTCTTGGTGCCAGCAGCTGAAGAGCAATGTTTATTGATAAGTCCCAGAGGATACATATGGGGTTAATGTGCAATAGCAAGCATAAATACTTTTCTGGAGACCTATTTGCATGGTTACCAATGTTAGTTTAGGCAAGATTATCCAACATCTTTTTTGCTGATTTCTCAATAAGTTCATTATAGCTTCAGCTCCATTGGATTTAGACCAGAAGAGGGAAGAAAAATGGAGATCTTTAGGTCTCAGCTATTTTTAAGAATGACATAAAAAGGCATAGCCACAAATAAACACTTATGGGAGAGAGTATCAAAACAAATGGTCTGGAGCAGCAGAAGTTGTATGTATCAACGGACAAGGTGTTGATAAGCATGTTCAGCAGTAAATTTTTAAACTTTAAAAAAGTAGTAATAGTGACTTCTTCTCATGGAAAGTAACTGTTCTGTTTCAGCTCAGTTAATGAATGCATAGCAGAATAAACCATGTAGTGGAGCACCTCTCTCACAGAGGTTGGTTGAGAGAGCCAGGATTGTTCAGCCTGGAGAGAAGAAGCCTCCGAGGAGACCTTCTTGTGGCTTTTCAGTACTAAAAGAGGCTTACTAGAAAGCTGGAGATTGAGTCTTTATCGAGAGTGTAGCAAGAAGACAAAGGGAAATCGCTTTGAACTAAAAGAGAGGAGATTCGATATTTGGAAGAAATTACTCATGTTGAGGCAGTAGAACAGGTTGCCAGGAGAAGCTGTGGATGCCCCATCACTGGAGGTATTCAGTGCCGTGCTTGATGGGGTTCTGTGCAGTCCAGTCTAGTGGGAGGTTTCACTGCCTGTGGCAAGGGGGTTGGAACCGGTCTTTGAGGTTACTTCCAACTCAAACCATGTTATGATTCTGTATCAACATACATTTAAATTTTTCTATATGTAAAAATACTTAAGAAGCAGCAGAACAAGGCAGTTTAGAACTAAAGCATTAGTAATCTCCAGAGCCACATGAGGGCATTCCCAGTCTGTCCCCCCACACCTCCCCATGTATGATACTAGGCTCAGGCCAGTTCCCGTGTCTAGCTCTAAGCTCCAGCACAGGGAGCTGTTCAGAAGGCCCTGCACCCCGTTTCATTACAGAAGTTGGTGGCTGCTCTTAACAGAGACATACCCACCTATCTCATTAAAAAGCTTTCATTTTCATATGTTCTTAGGCATGTCACTTTTCATTCAGTTTAACTCAGATGAAGTTGTAGTTTAAGTTCTCAAAAGCTTTACAAGTAAGAGAAGAAAAGAGAGGTGCAGGCTCTGCCGTAAATAATGTGATAGAAGCTAATCTTAACATCATTGCATTAAGGGAAGAAGTGTTAAGGATGAACAGGGAGAGAGAAAAAGGCTTTGTATGGTCCTTTCTTTGTGTTAGTAAACACCCAATGTGTCCAATGAAACATTTCATGATGTTTTTATTGTGAGTCTCTAACATAGGATAAAGTACGCATCTCAGCCGCATCCCGTCTAATATCAAAAAGACACTTGTGCATCCACTAGCACCCCCTCATGTCCTGGGGTTTCATGAGAAGAGGCTGGCATGCAAGGCAGAGGGAGAAACACATTATTGCAACCAGACCTAGATGAGAAGGGGCCCGGGGCACGCTGCGGGGTGCTTGTCTCTCTTTTAAGCTTTTTACCCATTCATCCATGAAGATAAAAGAGGAGTATTTTTTGTGAGTGAACTGTGAGATTTTGTTTTAAGTGCATTAAGACATCAGTAAATACATTTTTGATTGTGACCTTTTAAAATATAGAAACTATTTGAATATGTAATACATATATTCACAAAAGATTTTTTCCTCCTATATAAAGCCAATAAACAATATTTTATTTCTATATGGATCTGAATGTGGCAGTTCTAAAAATGTTTCAGTTCATTTGCTCTTTTGCCTAAGCCAATTGCCTTTAGTTAAAGACTACTAAATTAAAGGAAAAATTATCTTGCTTGTCCTTGAGATGTACTGCTATAAAATGAAGATATTCCATACAGTTTATAACTCTATTTTACTTGTATTATATTCTCAGTTCCTCTTTCTTTCAGCATAATATCTATATAAATTAGAGATCAGTTCTTCTATTGTTATGGAACTTAAAAATCTATATGTGTAATATCATGATCATGGAATCATTAAGGTTGGAAAAAATCTCTAAGATTGATCTTGAAGTCCAGCCATCAATCCATCCTCACTATACCCACTAACCAAGTCCTTAAGAAACCACTCCTACACGTTTCTTAAACACTTCCAGGGGTAGTGAATTTGCCGCCTTCCTGGGCAGCCTGTGCCAATGTGTGACCACTATTTCTGAGAAGAAGCTTTTCCTCTTATCTGACCTGAACCTCCCTTCATGCAGCTTGAGGCCATTACTTGTATCCTATTGCTAGTTACCTGGGAGAAGAGACTAACCCCTACCTCATTATAACCTTCTTTCAAGCAGATGTATAGAGCAATAAGGTCTCCCTTGAGTCTCCTCTTCTTCAGACTAAACAAGCACAGTTCCCTCCGCTGCTCCTCATAAGACTTGTTCTCTAGACCCCTCAACAGCTTTGTTTCTCTTCTTCAGACATGCTTCAGTGACTCAGTGTATTTCTGATAGTGAAGGGCCCAAAACTGAACAAAGTGTTTGAGGTGCGGCCTTAGATCAGATTTTCAGTACATTTGACAAAGGATGTGTAAAGGGCATTTTTGTGTTTCTTTTGTGTGCATGTGTGTTTTGGTTGACTTAGATTTCTTAATCATCCACTCAAAGACATAGGTGTTAGGATAAGATTCTTTAAGTCTCCTAGTAGGAGAACCTTCTTTTTGTGTTTTTTGCAATGGTACTTTAATACCAAGTTCTTAATGGTGTCACAAGGTCAGTGGCTCAAAATTGGAAGTCATGGTCTTTTCTGTTTGAGTGGTTAACTTGGGGCCATTGTAGAAAAGTCAGCAATCTGTGTTCCTTCTGTTGCTGTGGGAGCAATAATGATACAGACACTGATTCGTTTTTTCTGTGTCTTGGCTATCAATTCTGGTCTGCACCTGAACTTCCTACTATCAAGTGCTTCAAAAACAACAATCTTCTTCCTTCATAAAAGACAAATTTATCACTTTTGAGTCACATTCTGAACTGCAAGATTTGAGTTTGCTCCCAGGGCCAAAAATTGTGAGACTCACTTGTGACTCGAAACCTGCCTTTTTTCTTTCTATTGTTTCTTTAATTTTTAAATCTGCCTATTGAAATCACAGAAATACCTATATAATTGACCTAATGATGACTTGAACTTCGCTGCAGACCTGTAGCATTTTTGTCCTCCTGTAACTGTGTGTGTTACATGCTCCTCATATCCTTATTTTCGTAATCCTCAGGAAGACTTCTGATTTCTAAAACCACTGCTGCTGCAGCCAAGCTACCATCTTACCCTGGAAACTGGGTCTGCTGCCTTTAGAACTCTCCCCTTAACCTCAGTCTCTGTATGTTTTTTTTTTTTTTTTTCTCTCTCCTCGTGGGAATTGTAATACATAGATGTAGAAATGGCTTTTGGAGCTACAGCTGACAAGTACCACTCAGATACTGCACAAGAGCATATTTTCTAAGGTTAAGTGTAAAAATTGTATTTAAAAGTCAAAACCTTAACTCAGAAATAATTCAGAAGTATATCAGGACCTGCAGAGAAGCAACTACAAAAAAAAGAACATATTTTTATATTTCTGGTAAATTTAGTGTCTGTGTTCCCATATGTGATTTCTAAAGGAGACATCCAAAAATCAAAAAAATCCTAGCTGGAATAGGATTTTTAAAAGGAATTTTAAGTTAAAAGATTAAGAAGATTGAAGGGAATTTTCCCCTTAAAAAGTGAATGAGTATTACATTGTAAGGTTTCCTTGGGAACAAAAAGATAAATCCTTTTGTTCTGTTTCAGTGCGTTAGGGAGAGATTTCATCTACACTCATCCCAATTTGCGCAGACTGTGCAAACTGTTCAAACTGGGGTTGTCTCCCCTTTTGTACCATGATACCCATCATTAAGTTTTATTGGATCACTGCAGGAAAATAAGGATGTTGTGAGTGTTGATAGAACAGAAACTTGTCAGCTGCTATCACCGAGGGCTTGAAGTGACAGTAAGCAAGTGCAAATAAATCTTTATAGCACCAAGAATCTATGACGAAGTCATGCAGCAAATTATTAAGTAAATTAGATCTTTGCTATTTTAGTGAATCTGTTACGCTACAGATTGATTAAAGAGAGGCTGTACAAATACAGATAACCTAATGGGGACCAGATAACACATTCCTCAATCGTAGGCATTTTGTTAATTTTGTTGTGTATTTATTATAATTTTCAGGGTGTACATTTATAAATGGCCATGTAAACATTTCACTTTCAACTAAATGGGATTTTGCAGCATCTGTAGAGTACTGGCCAGCATAATAGCTGGAGCATATAGGTAATTAAGTAAGTCTTAGTGACTTCTCTGGTATTCACTGAAGTGTAAAAACAGGCACATCATGGTAATAAGCAGAAAGCAGGAAAATCTGGGTTTGCCCAAATGTCTGATCCTTGTTGCTTTACACAGCAGCCCAGTGTATGATGCCTTTTGAAAATTAAGGTGTGGAATTAGGTTTTTGAATGTTCAAATATATTGAAATTTCTGGCCTGTAAAAACATATGTTTAAATGAAAAATCCATGCAGCCAATCTAGAAAATGATTTAAGTCGCAGAGATGAAAATGGAACTATTAGTGTTTTCAGAAATGATTAATCATCTGGGCAGCCCAGATCAATTTTGAACGTATGGGTATGGTTATGTTTTGAGGTTTTGGTTTGTTTGTTTTAATGTAGTTAATATCTACTTACAGTAGAAACCTGTTAGCAAATAATACAAAATTGAAGAAAAAATATCTCTAAATCTATTCCTCACTGTCAGTTGGGGAAACAAAGTTACTATTCCCCCGCTGTCCTAAGCAATTGTGTTATGTTTTTTTTTATAGACATCACACTGTTAAGCAGGTGTTAAGTTTTACTCCAGTGATGTCTTAATTTTTAGAAACACAGTACATATATAGCTGTTTAAATCAACTGTTAGGAACTGCATGAAACAAATGTAAGTTAATTACTCTCAAAAAGTCTCTGAATTTACTTCCCACTGATGTTATTTTTTTTTTTATCGTACAAAGACTGTCTTCAACTGATAATGTGACCTGACTATATTAAAAAAAAAAAAAAAAGGAGAAAAAGGTTTGTTTCACCCTGGCACATCAATCATAGAATCATAGACTGGCTTAGGTTGGAAGGGACCTCAAGGTTCATCAAGTTTCAAGCCCTCCTCTACAGGCTGCCAGCCGCCAGATCAAGTCTAGATCAGATTGCCCAGGGCCCCCTCCTCCAAACTAGCCTTGAACACCTCATAGGGCAGGGCATTCACAGGCCCTGCACAACTTGTTCCAGCAATTATGGTCAAGAAGTCACGTGGCATTTTATAAAAAATCTTTAGCCTTCTGCAGACTTTCCCCAGCTGCTCAGAATGATAGGTCAGTGACCCATACAAGAAGTTTGTTTTTCCTTTTACTTGCAGCTTGTAAATCATCAGTATCATTATCTTGTATATGTAAGTGCTCTGCAGGTGCCTGGGAGCCTGTGGGTACCATCACCCTGGGCTTCAAGCATGGGACACATCAGATAGTGGAAGCCATCATGTGTCTTCTTGCAGCTCAGAACAATGACCTTTCAGGTTAAATTCCCCAACAGGTCATTAAAAACAAAATGATCCACCTTCTGAAATCTGGATATATTCCTAATGATGTGTTCCTATTTTTTCAGCCTTCTTCTTCCTGAGCTTTCACACTGTCCTGAAATTTCTTGGTACATTCTTTAATATTCCGACTTCTTAATTTTCTTATTTAAATAAAGAGAAAATATCTTAGATATTGTCTCTTTTTCTTTTTTGTGTGTGAGAGAGAGAGAGAGAGAGAGAGAGAGAGACAGTTGGAGTCTTTTTTCCTAAAAAAGAGATTACAAAGAGATGCTTGGGAATTTATTTCAGTGTGTAGCATTAAGTTGCATAAAGACAGCAGAATATTATAGCTGATGGTACAGCACAAAGTATGTTCTGAAAATTGTTGCCTCACTACTTAACTCTAGAGAATAGCTTTGATTCTTACTGTGGTGTTTTGCTCCTGAGACAAAGGTATCCTAAACATTACAGGTTTGAGCAGTAATTGCAATAATGCTAATACACATTTAAGTGATTAAATACGTACCTATTAGCACAATGTGTTGGGGACTGGATAGAAATAATGGGTTGTCCCTTGCAGCATCCTGTGTCCCCTGCAGCTTCCCATTCCTTAGGACCTGATTCAGAGGCATTGCCTGACACTGCTGCAAGTGATTGCAAATGCTTTTGACAAATGTTAATTGGGAAAGGCTGGATGCATTGTAATCAAAATAAAATTACAGCAGTTTCACAAGATGTCAGGCAAACATTTGCAGAACAGATTCAGAGATTTCAGTAGGTTTCATAGTAGCTGGCTAGGCCACAAATACAGCACAATTACACAGACTGTCATCAGACAGCTGAGAATTGGGCTGAAGAGAAGACAGCCGCTGAAGAAGTTTGTCATTTGTGAGTAAGAAAGAGATAAAAAACATTTCTCTTTATACGGTCTCTAAAAATAGATGTCAGTGTTCAAAATCTATACTCTAAATTCATATAAAAATTAAAAGATTCTTTCCAACTCAAGGCATTCTTTGATTCTATGATAGTTGAGTCTCCTGAAATATTATAAATGAAGTATGGTTTAAATATCTTCCAAACAAGTGAAAGTTAATCTTATCCCATATGCAAACTTAAAAAAAAAAATAAATTTGGTGACAGAAAGCTTAGCAGAACTTCTTTTGATTTTGCTAGTGAACTTACTTAGAGAACATGATAAAAAACATAATTGTCCATGCCTCAGAGGTCAGGGATCTAGCTGCAGCAGAACCCAGCTACAACAAAAAAGTCACCTTCTTCAGTTAAGTTAATCCTAAAATTAGTTTCATTTATTTCTGTATTCGTTAGGATATAAAAAATAGTTGATTTGAGCATATTTAATCTCAGAACAAGGATTTGTGGTTGCCTGTAAAGCACTATGAACACTAATGAAGATTTGGAAATAATTAATGGTGACTGTTTCAGTTACATTACTTGCATTTTTTCAGCTGTTGCTCCATATACATTTCAAGGTAGTGAACAGAAATTACGGACTGTTATCTTCACAAGCATTAAGGAGTGCTATCTCTGCAAAGCCTCACAAAATGAGCCAGGCCCACTGCGCCTCCCTGCCCCAGTAGTACCAGGGAGTGAGCAGTTCTATGTTTCGGTCAGAAATGATTTGGCCCAAACCTATCCGCAAGTGGCATGAAAGACTGCACGAGGTGCTTGCCACCTGGCTTTGCATGAGACATGGCTTCATACCTGCTTTATCAACAAAGGATGTTAGAGCTCGCAATGTTCAAACACCAGAACACCACGTCCGTGCTATGCGTTCGTTCTGCTTGAAGCTAATCAGGCATGCTGCAGCTCTTTCACGCAGAATGACTGCCGGGTAGGAAGATGTAATCGGAATTATTTCCCTGGAAGGTGTGTAGTGGGTGACTTGAAGTTTTTGGATCTGTTTTTAAAATGTGCCTGTTAGTTACAGCCCACTACCTTTGTTTTTAAAGCTGAACTGTACTGTGTATGGCTCTATCTGTCGAGTTCTTTCTTCTGTGGAAGCAGCTAAGTAATCTTTATTTGCTTTGAGCATGTTTGTTTTGTACTGATAACTCCCTAGGACTGCCTTTCCGCCTTTAGAAATGTAACTACCAATTTTTTTTACGGAAGAAAGTGTTTAGAGAATGTGTTGAAACTTCATGCTGGTATGAGTTGGGAGGAAAAAAATTCGTAAGCACTCAGGATAGCAATAACAAAAGAGTAATATTAAGGTTAAAAAAAAAGGAGACACCAGAGAATCCATTAAAACTACACAAATAACTTTTTTAAAAATAATTCTGAAATCATTCACTTTTTTATTACTCTTATTTTCTCTGTGCAGTGCCTACTACAGCAGTGACAATAACTTCTTCAGCAGAGCTATACAAAACCACAGCGTCAACCACTAGCACTACATCACAGAAAGGTCCAGTAAGCACAACATTAGCTGGAGGAACAAAAGAAGGAAGCAGAGGACCCAAGCCACCGCCACCCGTTTCTACAACCAAAATTCCCCCTGTGACGAGTTTTTTCCCTTTGCCAGAAAGATTCTGTGAACCGACTGAGGCAAGGGGGATTAGTTGGCCTCAGACACAAAGAGGAATGATGGTTGAACGGCCTTGCCCCAAAGGAACACGAGGTATTGCCTTTAAAAATATATCATGATTCCAAGCAGACATTTCAAAGGCACTGTGCCACTCTCTCATGGTGATTTTTCTTAAATCTCAGCCTGTCAAACAATTTTTTTTGTTGCTTGGAGAATGCAGTATCTAAAGGCAATGGTCAGGTTCTAATCTACAAACTGCATTTGAGTGTAGATTCAGAATTACTTTGCATGTATGCTTTGAGAATCCAGGTCAAATTTTAGGTCTTTACTTGAGGATTGTTATGAAATATACTTACAGCTGCCTTTCTCATTATGAGCTCCCCTTTGGATGAGCTCCAGGAAAAATCAAAGGCTTTTTGTTTGTTTGCAGAAACCGTCTGGTACTTTTCACTTGACTTTTTTATTGCTGTTTATCATCTACCTTATTTCCTTACGTTTTTGTCAATTATTGTCAACTGCTTATACTAGTGGTATTCAGGATTCAACACTGCTAAGGAGCACATTGTTGCTGATTTCCTGAATGCATGCAGAAAAATGGTTTCAATTTCACTGTAGTTTTCCCCATCTGTTGTAGGAACTGCCTCGTATCTCTGTGTGGTTTTAACGGGAACATGGAACCCCAAAGGCCCTGATCTTAGCAACTGCACCTCACACTGGGTAAATCAGCTGGCTCAGAAGGTTGGTTGAAACCTTTTAATCTGGTGTTCGCTCATTACTAAAGATTTTAACTGCAAGCATTAATAATTGAGCTTGTTGAAGCTGTCCTGATTACTATGTGTTCTTTTGAAAAGGAGTTGCATGTACTTTGTATGTAAAGCATTTAAGAAAAGCGTGGCTCATAAGTCCAGTAAGGCACACTCGTGCTCAGTTATTGAGTGGAGTCTGTACTTACGTGTTTTCATAGCATTTTAAAGCAAAACAGCTCTTCTAGTGTTCTTGCTTAATAAATAAAATATTATAAATCATACAGCAAAAAGTCTGGTATGCAACTAGGTTTATTGGCTCAGGGAGAATTTTACTTGAATAAATAGATTTTTGTACGAGTGCATTAATAACAGTATGATTAGAGCACAGAGCCACTTTCTGTGTTTTCCTTCCCTACTGAGATTTACTAAGTTTATGAAAACTGGATAATTTGTTGTCAGTACCAGGCTACTTGACTTTCAAATGCCTCAAGCACTGGTGTGAACAAATAGATTTCTTACTGTCTGATAATGGCAGAAAAATAAAAGTGAGGATGAACAGAAGATCTAGCCCAAAAGTCCCAGTCTGATTTCTGGTTTTGATGACTGTTAAGAACTGCCTTTGTGTGTCACGGATCTAAGAACCTTTAATCTTCTGAGATAAAGAGAATGTTATTGGTCTCAATTAGTTGCAGATTTCAATGTATGTGCAAATGGTTATTTCACCACAACAAAGGTACGTGGGGAATTGGAATTAGGAGCCGCAAGCAGAACAAGGGACCCTGCTGAGATAATATAAATTGTCATTTCAGATCAGAAGTGGAGAAAATGCTGCTAGTCTGGCCAATGAACTGGCTAAACACACTAAAGGACCAGTCTTCGCTGGCGATGTTAGCTCATCAGTGAGGCTGATGGAGCAGCTTGTGGACATTTTGGATGCTCAGCTGCAGGAACTGCGACCCAGTGAAAAAGATTCTGCTGGAAGGAGTTATAACAAGGTACACAACTATGTTCACCTCCGCTTGCTGGGATAACCATTGCCCTTGATTTTTTTTTTTATCCTTTCAGAAATATTAATCAATACTTTGTTCCTGCGTGTATATAGTTCTGCAATAAACGTGTAAAACAACAGTAGATACACAGCGGAAAGTTGCAATTACCTTCTTTTTAGGGCATAAGATAAAATTCACAGTAGAATAAAATTCACTGGTCCTCAAAGATAGCTGTGTGTCCTTTATTAAAATCTTGTATGCATTATAAATAATGTAGGTAAATGGCCAGTAGCTTACAGAAATCCTCAACCAAAGCAGTATTTTTATTCAGTGAAGATTTTATCCCGAGCAATCAGTGGGATGCAGCATGGTTGCACAGTTTTGCTTTAATCTGAATTGCTGCAAAATAATAGCATTTTCTTAGACGTTTTAAGATGCCAGCATCACTTACAGTTGATCATATCTCCTAGGATGATCTAAACCACAAAGACATAGTTTTTTGTTTTTGTTTTTTTCTTTCTGGAATAGTATTGAGAGAGACATTTCAGAGAAAAATTATGTTGTTGTGTTTTAGGTACAAATCACAAAAGCGTTACCGTTCCAGTTTTTCTCATAAGAAATGCTATATTTCATGGCCTCTTCCTTTCCTCAGCTCAGTCAACAAACTACAAATAAAACATTTTTCAGCCTGCTTTAAAGAGAGCTCCGTGTACTCCTCTGTTGACTGGGCAATAGTTTTATTTACAATCTCTAGCTACACTTAGAAGAGTTTTCCCTTGGATAGATAAAGTGTCTACGCCAGGATTTTCTCCTTTGACCTTTTCACACAAATCCCACTGCTGGGACAAAGATCCCCGGGCACCTTTATAATGGTTGGGAAAAAGGTTTCCTGTTTGATGTTTTTCTGTAGTCATCACTGAATAAAAACTGAATTAACGTCCAAACTCTCCACAGTTCGAATTACGGATTTGAAACACCAGACTAAATTTTGGGTATTTCTGAAGCTTTCCAGAATGTGTCTAACTTCTGATTTTCTTTTCTCTTACTAAAAAGCTCCAAAAACGAGAGAAGACATGCAGGGCTTACCTTAAGGTATCTCTCATGTGCTGTCACCCTGCTTTCTCCCTGCTTCAGCAACCTGCCACGCTTTATCATCTTGCTGCATGATCCTATGTATTTCAGTCTTTGATAAATGTGTATTGTGCCCCATATCAACTGTACAAATGTTGGCTTTGCACAGGTATAACACTCAGAAGAAAAAAAATAAAAATCAAAGTTTATACCTCTCTAACCTCAACTTGTTCCAAAGCAGAAACAGTTATTACCTGAATTGGAAGTAACGTCTCTCTCATAATATGACTTTGGGTAGACAAAAAAGCTGGGAAATGAACAGAAGTGACTTCAGCTTATAGCGTTTTATATCAAAGACTGCTTAGAATTAATTTGCTTGCATGAAGTGTACATTATATAGCCTGCTTTGTTCTTTGTGTATTCTTATACCTAGTAGAATTACTCCATCTTACAGTTTTGAGAGTTGTTACAAAGGCCAATTTCAATGATTTCAGGATAAAATATAAATACAAACTTTTCTCTAGCTTTACTAGTAAAATATGTATCATGTGTCCCATTAGTCAGGCTATATGGAAGGTGCATAACACATTGCTATCTGATTTTCTGTTTCTTTTATCTCTGGTAGAATGGTTGCCCATAGTGGCCAGCTCCTGCTCTGTGATACAATGCCAGTAATTCTACCTCACACCTGTGATAAGGAGAAAAATATGTCCTAGAATAGATTGTGTCTGTGCTTCTGAAAGATTTTATTGCACATTTTTTCAAAGTTTCTTTTAAAATATGGTTTTTACTTGTACCTTCTGTGATAAAATGTAAGAACAATTTTTAAAAAGAACTTTGAAATACTTTGCAACATAATAAATTCAAACTCTTACTGGAGGGACACTTCTCTGTATTAGATGGTCTGTCTTTTATCCTACTGCTTAGAAAATGGGATAAGAGATGTCCAGTTACAGCAAAAATTTGACAAAAAGAGACAAAGATCTGGAGAGAAATGCACTTCTTAAATAATAAATGTAATAGGATTTTATCAGAAAGTAATTTTGAATAGGAGAAGGAAACCCAGCAGACATTGAGCAGACTGAATTTTCATACTTTGTTTTCAATAATAAACATTAACATGAGTAGAGCAATAATTGGCTTGCTTGGACAGCTGTGTCAGAGGGGTTCCACCTCCCTGATTGTCTTTGTCTGAGTGGAGAGAATGCCTCAGAAATATTATTGGACAGGTGATCATTTACCACAGGAAAAATGCAGAGCTAGCTTGTCCTATAATAAATAAAAAATGCTTCATATTAATGAATGCATACCATCAGCACTATATAGAGATACATAAGAAACCGTAGCACAACCTTAATTTTCGACTGGTGTCATTTTCTGTAAGTCTCAGATGGGCTTCTCTGCTTAGATAAGACTAATAACCCTCTTGAAATTACAAATCAAAAGCTGACTTACACTATGCAAATGAAGCAAGTTCCCACTTTGTGACAGAGAATTCATTTGTACCTCAGATTAGAGGCTCCAATCTGTATTTCTTGGTGACTAATGAATCTGGCCTCTGCAGACCAATTTCTGTTCCACTCTAGTTAATGGCTGCAGCAGTATCAGTGTGAGCATTTTGACTATTCTGTCTCCCGTTAGAGAAAGAAAAAAGGCTTTAATGTCACTTCGAAGTATCTTCCACCTGCCAGGAAGGTCGTGGTGGTTCACAACACAGACAGAAAGAGGATATTAAAATGGATTAGGCTAATTAATCTTGCTCTGACAAAAGCCTTGACCAACTTTTCCTATTCTGATTTGCACAATGCAGTATTCCAGACCAACATCTTCCTGTTTGTACACTACATTCTGTTTCCATTCCTGATGCTTTTAAATTGATCAAACAAATTATACATAGGCTTAATGACACATTATGAGTAGGCAAATGGGACAGAGTAAACAGGGTGTTTCAGCAATGCATGGCGTACTCAGTGCACAGCAAACTCAATGCACAGCTACATTATGCATTAATGTAAGTGCCTGCCTTCAATTGATTAACTGATTACTGTGATTGATTGGATTATTTTGTAAAAATAATGTAATCATGTCTCTGAATTCATCTTCTTCCTTATTTACTGTTACTTTATATGCAGCTTAATGAACCTTAAAACATAATGATAGAGTTGTTACAAGAAGGACTTAAAATGGCAGCTTTATTCAGCTTTTCAGTTTTGCCTACACTGATAACAGGGACAGTCAGTGGACATCTTGTTTGCTCTATTGATTTCCTTTTTTAACTGACCTTTGTGCAGGAATGGGAGTTAGTAATTTTTTTTTAAGTATCTAGGAACAGGTACAGGAACAGGAGGGGGAGTGAGAGTGGCCCAGACTAATTTATATCCACTGAGTCAGCTTCATTTCATGCCTCCTGTAATAAAGAAGGCAGTTTGTCATAGACAAGTAGTTTATAGCACAGTGGCTGCATGAGTTGTGCTAAGTTTTCAGAAGAGTATTATTGCCATTTTAGCCTAAGCTGCAGAATGCCAATTTTGGCATTAGTATTTTTAAATAGAATTTGTATATTTTGACATTAATTTTAAGATGAAAGCTTCAGGCAAAATTTCTGGCATTTATTTTTACATTTTTTCAGCACATTAATATGACTGTCTTTATATCTGATACGAGACAAGTCAAATCTGCATGTTTAACACTTATAGACCACACAATGCTAGTGGCTAACTGCACTTCTATTAATGCTAATCCAGCAAGGGAATGGAAAATATTTTTATGTTGAAATAGTTTTCTAGTGCCATTAAATCACAGTAAATCATTCTGACAGTTAAGTATTATAATTGTCACCAGATAATGCTGAAAATTTTCCCCAGCTGCCTAAAGCAATCAGACCTAATGATAGTTTTCTAATGAATGCAGGCAATTGTTGACACAGTGGACAACCTGCTCAGGCCTGAAGCTCTGGAGTCCTGGAAAGACATGAATTCTTCGGAACAAGCCCATGCAGCCACAATGCTACTTGATACATTAGAAGAAGGGGCTTTTGTCTTGGCTGATAATCTCTTAGAACCAACCAGAGTCTCAATGCCCACAGAAAATATCAGTAAGTGAATTTCTTTTCAAGTACTAATTAAAGTGCTGTGAATTGCTTTTACACAAAAAACAAGAACAATTATTCTTTGAAAGCTGAGCTGTGCAACATTTGGTAGAAAGCTGTACTTTACCTGCCGGTGTAGGAAAAGAGTTATTCCTTAGTAGAGGTGAAATGCTTTTGTTTGGTTCTGCAAAATTAGCATTCTTCTTCAGTATCCTCAATACAGTGTAGAATAGAAAGTACTTGATGTTGTGAAGTTGATTTACCACTGAAAAATCATTAGCAGAGCCTATGGATATGAAGAATGCTTAAACGGCAAAGTATGGATTTTTTGAGGTAACTGTTTTCTGTAGGGCTGTGGAAATGCTTTTCTATTTTATATAATCTGTCCTTAATGAATTTAAATTACTTTTTACGATGCACTCTGCCAGTAAAATATTTTAGGCACTCAGAACATAGGCAAAATGTTTATATTAAACATGACTGCCTTCAGGTAAAAATGTGTTCAGTGGACTACATCTCCCATAATGCAGAATAGCTATGCTCCAGAGACTACAAAATAGCTGAAGATAGTTGGAGCATAATTTAGAATTTAAGTGGTGACAGAGAAATGAAAGGATTTGGTATTAGAGATGTGCAAATATTGGTACAGGGGATGTGTTAAAGCAAAAATAATTGCTATGCATAAAATTAAAATTCCTTCATCTTATTGCAAAGATGAATGTAGTTTCAGCGTAAGAGGAAGCTGAAAGTCTTCCAATTTAAAAGTTACCAAAATGGAGACTTGGAGTAGACTGCAGAAATTAGACTTTCCACATTTCAGTATCTGCATATTAACTGTGTAAGATGTTTCTACCTAAGTTTATATTTAAGAAGGAAGATACTGGGAAAGAAATGTGAGGTGTTACAGCTTATCTTAGGAAGCAATGTTCAGACAGTCTACTGAGCTCCATGGAACAGTGTGTACATACTAAGTGAGATGTCTGACTATATGTAAAGGTGCATTTGTCTTAGAAATGAAATACATCGGAGGGAAAAAAGCAAATAACATTTTTCAATTACCAAGTCCAAGTATACTTTCTTATACAAATGAGAGGAAATAAGTAGTTAATTTTGGACTGCATTCTCAGACACTGTTCTGCAATTCTACCTATAAACCATCAGAAACAACTTTGATAACAGGCTGTAGCACATACATTGTGATAGTTGAACCAGTTTAATGTACCACTGATACTTGATACCAAATTGACCACTCTAGTTTATATGTTTTACATATCCAAGAGAATCCAACCTTTAATGTTAATCCCATGAAAGCTCCCCAGTATGCAGTATGATATAAAATTAAAACTGACTGTCTAAGTGGTACCTTAAGTTTTCAGTTTAAATACTATTTTAACATTACTATTTTATTTATCAACCATTCTACAGAATTAGATATAGGGGGGAAAAAAGCAAAATGGTATGAATATTGTTTAGCTAAATACACAGCATAAGTGTACTTAGGCATTTATTTGCTGACTTTTAAAACCTCTTTAAATCAATACTTGAAGTTCTAAATCTGCCAGCTGTGGTTGCTACATAGACATTAGGAGCTTCAAAATTAATGTTTCTCTGCAATACGTATGTTTGCAGTATTTTTAAATGGATTTTTTAGGCCCACACATTAAAGCAAGGTTTGATGTCGTTATTTTCTCTATTAAAGTGCTGTCATTTTCTTTAAACTTTAATTAAACCTAGTGCATACTACTAAAGCAACTGTGTAATTGAAACATTGCAGTACAGATCTCTTTTGATGGCAAATGAGACCAGCAGTGTGATAAAACTGAATATTGATTGGGGAAAAACAATTGTAATCTGGCCAAAAGATGCTTTCTACATCCTTCTTTTTAACACTTTTTTTTTTTCCCCTTGAATCTGCTTAGTTTTGGATGTTGCAGTGCTCATTACTGAGGGCCAGGTGCAGGACTTGAAATTTCCTCAGGGCAGTAAAGGAGGCAACTCAATTCAGCTCTCTGCAAGCACTGTGAAACAAAACAGCAGAAACGGTGAGTCCTGAGCACATAGCATCAAAACTCCATTAAATTCAATACATTACCTTTCCTAGTTAAGAAACGAACACACGCAACAAAACTGTTCTGTGTCTTTTTCTCAAATATAATAGGTACCTAGGCATTTTTCTTCAAATTTGTAGCCTGAAAATGCCTCTGTGTTTTCTGATATTTTCCATTCATTACAGTACAGACTACAGCTTTCCTGTATGTTTCTGTGGCACAATTATGGGATTTCTTTTCTTTTGTAGGGCTAGCAAAGCTGGTTTTCATCATTTACAAAAGTCTGGGGCGTTTTCTTAGCACGGAAAATGCAACCATAAAGCTGGGCAGTGATTTTGCTGGTAGAAACAGTACAATTGCAGTCAACTCCCACGTCATTGCAGCCTCTATCAACAAGGAGTCTAGCCGAGTGTACCTGACTGATCCTGTGTATTTTACTCTGGAACACATTGACGTGAGTTATGTTAATGAATTAATGGGAGGGTCATAAAATCAGCAAGAAAGAAAAGCAATGCAGAAAAATAACCTTTTTTTCCAGTTGAATTTTAGATGTTGGGCTAGGTCAGAGACATGAGCTTGTTTAAGTCTGTGAACATAAAATTAAATGAGCCTGGTTCAGTGATTATTAGAACTTAAGTGTATTCTTAATGAACGCTAATTCAGTAATCAACGTGAAAATGTAAATGACTAATTTGTTTCTAACTGAGAATTAACTCTTACCTCAGTAGCTGGGGAGAAAGTAACCGTTAAGATTCTTGTTTGTCTGACGTGACAAAATAACATAAACTTTCTACAATGATTTTGGACCAAGCTCTGCAAGTCTATACAACAGAATTGTTTTAAATACATTCATAACGAGAAGGAAAGTGTTATATCTGGGTTTTCTATGCTTTCGATCTGTGTATATTGTGTCACGATTTATGTTTCTTTGCTCTTCAGTTTGATCCTTTTTATTTTCGAATCTCACATGGGGAAAGTAAATAATCAGTACAGTGATAGAGAAAATAGTTTGATTTTCCTTTTGCCACTTTTTGTAAGTGTTCCAATTGTTTCTTATCAAAATAGATAGACATTGAGGAATGAGATTTTTCCTGATGTCTATTCACATGACTTTGGCCAGAACATAGGTGGGAATCAAAGGATAGAAAATTCATTTCTCTGTCACTTGTAAAATATCTCTTCAGAATAAACTTGCTGTCCTAATTTCACAGACACCAAAAATGGTTATGTTGTACCATTGGTGCATAAAGTTGTAAGATGGAAATTGTAATTGTTTAAAATTGGGTCTACAGTAATTGGAACTACACTTTAGAGTGTTTCGGACTATAAAGTCCATTCAAACTAGATGTCTTCCTTGTATACATAGTCCACAATTTTGCTGATGAAAACTTTATTGTCCGAAACATGCAAAGTTTAATCGAAATTACTCTTTACACATATTAAACAATTGTTATTGCCATCTTAATGTGTGAAATCCTTATTTTATTTTATCCTTTTATCTCTCAGCCTGACAATTATTTCAATGCAAATTGTTCCTTCTGGAACTACTCTGAGAGGACTATGATGGGATACTGGTCAACTCAAGGCTGCAAACTGGTTGACACAAATAAAACTCATACAACGTGTGCTTGCAGTCACCTTACCAACTTTGCTATTCTTATGGCTCATCGGGAAATTGTGGTAGGTAATGATATTTCTAGCCATGAGCAGGGAACAAGCTTTTAAAGAGTTAGCTTTGAATTTTTAGCAAGATACAAAATTGCTGAAGTTTCTTAAGTATTTATAGTTTCTACCCACTCACTCCAAAACAATTTACTTTCTGTAGCAGTTTTCTTCCTCACCATAAAGTTACAAGTAAAATAACAAAAAAAAACCCCAAAAAACACCAATGAAAGAAGGACAAAAAACTTCTTCCAGTCATATTTTGAAGTAAATGACCAATCTTACAGTCATTTTACAGACTTTGCACTATGACTGGAGGCTTTCTAGGGGGTAAGTATGCAGGTTTTCCCCTGGAAGCATAAGTGTAATCTCCTGAAGCAGGAAGGTCAGAGCTGCTACCGGTTTTCTAATTCCCTTTTTATACTCTGAAATTGTTGCCTAGTTAAGCACTTACTGGATGTTTAGTGGCCAACGAAGATATATTTACAGAGATATGGGGCTTTTCATAAACCCACTATATTCTGAAAGGTAACTGAAAAGATAACTGAGATGACAAAAGTGATTCTGTTACAACTGAAGGAACCATCTTTACCTAAACATGACATTAGATATGGAATTACACATGCAACATATTCTGCATTTTGTTCTAATTGATCTTTGCTTTCTTCTCCACTGTGGAGTTGCAGGTCTATAGGAAAGAACATGTACACTTACAGGAGGTCAAGTAAAAGTTCTCATCTTTGCATCAGAGCCTAACGCTACATTCAAAATGTTGTCTCTTATTACTTTTGCCTCACAAGTTTGCAGAAGATCATAGGAAAACTGAAAATACTATCTAATCAGGCTAAAAATAATCATCTTTTGCTCTCAGACCTGCTCTTCTACTTTTGTTCTTCTGGGAAGCTGATCTGAGATTCAGAAATTACTGAGTACATCTTGCCCATCTCACATGAAGAACAAGCAACTTTTCTGGATGCTACCTATGAAAATAGATTTCTGTTTATACTCATAAGGATTCATATTAATTTTCTCCATTCTTGGTTATTTCTAGTACAAAGATGGAGTACACGAATTGCTCCTCACTGTCATCACCTGGGTGGGAATTGTCATCTCTCTTGTTTGCCTGGCCATCTGCATCTTTACATTCTGTTTTTTCCGTGGCCTGCAAAGCGATCGTAACACTATTCACAAGAACCTTTGTATCAACCTATTCATTGCTGAGTTCATTTTCCTAATAGGCATCGATAAGACAGAGTACACGGTAAGTCTTCTGTGTATGTACTGATGTTTTTCTCTGAAATGACTGTTTGAAACATTTGAATTAAAACATGACAACTGCCAACTTTTCAGCATTCTGACACAGCAAGGCTGAAATAAAAATTGTAAGTGAAAATAAGTAGATATGTTCATAAATAGTACTTACATTCATCAAAAATATACATGGTATTAATTTCTCAGTTAAAGCTCTGTTTTTCACTTTCTATTGAGAAATACCAGCTATTAATGAAGCAGGTGTTTTAAACTTCTGAAAGAGGAACTGAAATGTTGATTTACTAAGAACGTATATTCTCATGTGTCTTAAAAGCTATTGACTGTTTTTCTCACACACACAGGCAGACTTATGCCTTATGTTTTTTGTTGTTGTGTGTGTTTTTTTTTTTTTTTTTTTAAACACTGAACATTCATGCAAGTTCTTTGGCAGTATTCATGACATTTAATTTGTCATTCAGAAGCAATTCATTGTGTTGAAATCTAGTGAAGTGGTAAGAGTTTCATACAGAATTCAACTAAAGAGGAGAGAATTCAGACTGATTCCTGTTATGACAGTAGAAACTTGCAAAATTACAGCAGGCTTGATGGCTGCTTCATATTTAAAATAAGCTGAATTACATTGTGCTTCTGAACCAACTGTTCATGTCTCACATAATCCAAAGTACAAGCCCTAAAATGATACCAATTTAAAAATTAAAGGATTGTATATAAAAATCAAAAAGCACTGCATAAATGAAGACAAGTGAGGGTATGGTTTCTGTATCTGCATTCTGTTTAGTTGAATTTACTTTCTGCACCTACTATATATACATTAATATTGGCAAATGTTCAGCGTATGTTTTCAGGTTAGAAAAATGTTCCTGAATTTGTAAAAGATCTCTGATAGATGTATGTGTTCTTCTATTATGCCCTATTTAATTAGAGATGTAATGATGTAGAGATTTGTGGTTTATATTTCCATCTTTCTTTTTCTTTGCAGATTGCATGTCCAATATTTGCAGGTCTCTTACACTTTTTCTTCCTGGCAGCCTTTGCCTGGATGTGTCTAGAAGGAGTGCAGCTTTATCTAATGCTAGTAGAAGTATTTGAAAGTGAATATTCTAGGAAGAAGTACTATTACGTTGCTGGCTACCTCTTCCCTGCTACAGTAGTTGGTGTCTCAGCAGCTATTGACTATAAGAGCTATGGAACAGAGAAAGCGTAAGTAATTGCAAGTGACCTGAGTGTTTTTCAAGTGAATAATTTTTTAAAGCCTATTAGCTGTCAGGGGGTCCCTGACAGACTAAAATACCATCTGAAAGCTTTATTGGTAAGAGAATGGCAATACTGTGCACAAATTTCAATCAAGTCTTTTGTAATTCTCTAGGTTCAGAGGATTTGTACTCTAGAGAGACAAATTCTAAATTATGGTCTTTCTTTTAGCACAAAAGACTGACCTGAAACAAATTGAAAAAGTAAATAACTTTTTGGCCTCAAATGTATATGAACTAAAAATTCTTCTCAACTTAAAGTATCTGACAGGCTTAACCATCCAGTTTTAAGCTAATGCTTCATTAGATCTCTTTGTTCAACTGGCCCTGTAGCTAACTCTCATCTTGAATATGACAGTACAATATTCTGGCCCATATGGTTCACTTTGATAATATTTTATCATGCGGGTAGAGCAGGATTAAAATTAGCCACTGTCTTTTATTTATAAAAGTACAGATATATATAGGAAGTGACAGAAGGTAGACAGAAAACATTTCTGAGGATTTGAGTTGCTGGAGGCATGAATTTGCCTTGCAGTAGTGTTTACTTTGTCCTTTGATTAAATTAGTTACAGAATGGGAAGATAGTGTTGACTACAAGAAAGCTGCTTGATTTTGCTACTGATGAAAGACAAGTAAGAACAATTCAGTAGGGAACTGCGCTGTATGAAAAACAAATCACTAAGTGAAGTTGGCCCTAATAGGTTTACACGTCATTTGGTTTGGTATCATATGCATTCTTTCTCTCTAGTTTTACTCCCAGTTGGGATGTTTCATTTATACCAGATTGTTTTTCAGCCAAACGTGGTAACAGAATGCTTTCTATCTCATATTCCTCGGAAGTAAGCATGTTGCATATGCTATAGAGTTAAAAGCAGATTCTAAAGATGACTTGGAAAACCTGTGAAAAGTATTTGCTGATGTCAGATTCAGTAGTTCATTACCACTGCAGTGACTAAAGCTTTTGACCATAAGGAATACTCATTTTGATCGTTTCTTCTTCTGTGTTGTTTCTGATAATGGATTTTGATGTACAATGGTTTTATTAAGGAGGACCCACCATAAAAGTTACAGGTTAGGAAACATTGCCTGTGGACTAAATGATACTGTTTGTCATTATTTACCAAGATATTAGTTTAAGAAGTATTTTTGTGTTTTTCATTTACTGGACTGCGGAGCTATTGAAATAGTTCACCTTTCATTTTTGGTTTTTCTTCCACAGTTGCTGGCTCCACGTAGATAACTATTTTATATGGAGTTTCATTGGGCCTGTTACCTTTATTATTCTGGTAAGAGCTTTACTTTTTCTTTTAGACTATCTTGCAGAAAAGTTCAAATGATTAATTGTTAGAGCTCTGGGGGAACTTCAGTATAGCCATTTTTTGCCATTAATGGTTTGAATCTGAAGGTCATATTGACATGTGTAGTCATATGAAAAAATCATTGAAGTACATTAAACACTTTTTTTTTTTTAAGAAAAGGAACTGTTATTATTGCTTTCATTAACTCACTGACTCACTATTATACATGTTTCAGAGTTTAACTGCAAATTTTCCATCATCATTTCAAAAGAGTATTTGAATGCTTTGGATAATTAAGACAATCTTACATCTCAGAGTATTTATACAGTATTTATATCTATATTTGCATATGCATGTTTTTCAAATGACTGCTTCTGTATGTATTTAAGCTGTATGTTATATATATCAGACATATAATAAGTTCATGTGTTTCAGCATAAAAATAGAATATTATGTAACTAAGAGAAAGCTTATAGAACTTTTTTTTTTTTTAGTAAATTTATCATATGTATGCATACCCATATATGCACTCATGCCTGTATGCCCTATTGTCCATTCTAGGTTGAATACTGTATTTATACACCCATCATCTGTTCTCTGAGCACTGCTTCTCAATTTCACGTAAAAAGTGAAGTCATTTGTCATCCCAGGGAATATCTCCCTGTTTTTTTTTTTTTTTTTTTTTTTTTTTTTTTTTTTTTTTTGTTTGTTTGTTTGTTTGTTTGTTTGTTTTTCAGGTTAGTAATGTTAGCACTGTATGATGTAGGAACTTGGAAGAAAAGCAAATGCAAAATATGTATTTTGGTTTTATCTGGTATTTCAGTATCTTTAAACTTCACAATCTTTGAAAAGCATTCTAGAAGGCTAAAGCTAAGCACATAATCTGAGTATAGAGAGAGCTTTTGTCATAACTACTGATAGTTAGAAGGGATGAATTAGTTTTGTTTTAATGTCTTTGAAGTTCTAAATAATTACCTGTTCCCCTACCTCTATTCAGCAGTAGAGTTGTGAAGGGCATGCATCCAGCACAATTTTGAAGTTTTTTAGTTTTATAGAATCATATGCCAGACACAGTTGGAATGTTTTTGTAGCTTTTAGTTTACTTCTGTGTGTAAACATAAACTCATACTTTGATATCAAAAATTTCTATTAAAAATGTAGCTAGCCAATCTTTCATAAGTTCTTTATTCCCTCCTAGTAATTTATATATTGAAATGAGGTTATGTGTATTTTAGGTCAGTTTTTGATGTAAACAGAAAGTAATACTATTTTAACCCTTGAATAAGCAGTTAAGAAAAGATAATTGTGTAGTGTGAAAGGTTTAGTTCATTAGCATATATAATGCAATGGAAAGCATAGCAATGACAGCAGAGTAGCAAGGTCCTAGGCTGTAGCAAGTGAGGATTTGCTCAAACGCAACAGCCACTGACACAGGACTAAAAAAGAAAGATGGTGCTTACCTTTAGAAGCTTATAGATACACAGCAATCTCCAGCACAATACCTTGTCACTGCCAACCCTTAAATGAGGTCTGGGAAGGGGTGGATCCTGGCTCCACCCCTCCTGGTCACTCAGGTGCACCTGAGTTCTCCTGGGTTGGCCCTGCCTTCCCACCAGGTGCTCAATCACTGTTTCAAGCTGTGACTCAGCATTTCTGCTTCAGCACATTTTCAGAGAAATAGTTTTTAATGAGTGTATTAATTGAATTAGAAACATTGAAATATTTGCAAGGTATAAGTCTAGATCTTTATAATAATTATACAGTTTATTCTAAATACATTTAAATTTAATCGAGTATGAGGATAATGGGTGCTTTTTAAAATGAAACCTACAATTACAATTGAAATGCAGTTATTATTTTCAGTATGATAGGAGATATTTTTCAGAACAAAGTTATTCATTGCAGTTGTTGTAATCCTTAGTAAGAAACTGAAGTTTCCTGTAGCTATAGTTCAGTTACCCAAGTCTGATTGTGTGATGAGAATTTCACTTTCTATATCTTGCTTTTTATTTCATTGTTACTGCAAGTATTTTGCTAAGTCACCTCTATTTCTCTCTTGCTTTAAAATAACGTTTCATATGGGAAGCTTTGGGCATTGCTCACGGCTTTTTCACTTCCTCATAACCAGGTCAGAGTGAGAATAGAGGTGAAGGACATTTAATCATATTGACCATGTACAGACATAGTTCACTATTATTTACTGGCCATGACATTATTATCCTCCAGCAAATCATTTAGACTGAGACGCAAAAGGCTTTAGGGAGCAGTATTCCCAACTTCAAAAATATGAAACAGCAGGTAGCAATCACAGCACAGTTCCTGGGAGTAATTCTTCTCTAGCAATTGCTTTGCCCTCTAATCGTCCCAATTGAGAAAGCAAGAGACTGGAAGAAGTGTGAGAAGTGTAATAGCTGAAAAATAATATGTCATGGGCAGTGTAACTAAAGGCAAACCATGGTTGTACAATAGTGTACTTAGTAACATGACAGAATTTCTCCTTAGTAAGCTTTTTTAACATGTTAATCTAAACACTCCTTTTTGACAATCTTGCTTACTTCTCTACTTTACACAATTTTCTCTGAGTTTACAAGTGTTTGCACTAGTATCTGTATACATGTTTAATCAAAATGAGGGTAGAAAAGTAAGGGAGGGAAGTATAAAGTTCCTCAGTATATCTTCTGAGGATCTTCCAGCTTCACTAGTTCCATAGCCTGCCATGCCTTTGGGCACCAGGGTTATTATATCTATGAGAAAAGAACATGTAAGTAATGAGCGATGGGAAACCATTAGTATGCCTGAAATGGCTTAATGAAAGCTTGGATCATGACACGTCAGGAGCTGTTCTTATCATTTGGACAGCTCCATCTGCATCTTTAATAATTAATTCAGTTCAGTAAGAGTTCAGCTTGCACGCTCATTTAGAAGCCTTCTTCAGAGAGTACCTCTCTTGCTGCCAGTCCCAGAGAGAAATAGGCTTCTGCATGGCTAAGAGCAAAGATCTGGAGATACAAGAGCAGTTTTAGAGCTGCATTTGCCAGGTAACAAAAGCTCCAGGGAGTTCAAAAAGGGTCAGAACATGTGCAGTTCAGCTAGGTTACTTCAGAGTGGTGTTTCTGTTCTTCTGTCTAATCATATCCATGTCAGCACTGCAGGCTGTGTGGAATGAATTTTAAACTGCTAAGCTCAGGCAGACGTGATTCAATTGAGCAAGCTGATGGCTATAAAACAAACAGTGCTCTCCTATAATCTGTGGTCAGAAAAGCCAAAGTATTTTGACTTCTATGTAGATCCATGATCATTCATATCCAAGAAATGAAGTTGGTTTGACTTCAATTCAGCCAAAACTACTACAGTATGCTTCTCACAGATGGAGCCAATATATTGGACTACCAAATGCTATTTAAGCAGAAATTCCTAGGCCGGCCTGTTTCCCATTTACATGGGGATGTGTGAGACCAAAATCTGGATGCATACATACAGATGTTCACATATCTATCTATACATTTAAAAACTGTGTTTACAAGCTTATGTATTAAAAATATACGTAAGTATATTTTAGTAGGAGCCACTTGATAAATGGTATTTACCCATTGCTCATGGGGAATTTTATTATAATTATTGCAAAAAGTGGCTTTTTTTGGCTACTAATCAATTGTACCTGAGACTAATTCCAACCCATTCATCTTCTCTGCAGATTATTGCATCCATTTTTTTTGAAAGTTAATTTGACTTGAAGACATTCACTCTTAAAATTACATAGATCCCAGATGCCAAAATTTTACCTTGTTATTTATCATATCCAGTACATTCTGATGTCCAGACCAGAACTGGCATTGTTAGTGTTAGATATGAAAGAAGCATGATCTTACAGGGTACTGCTTTTGATTATTTCCATTAAAATTCTACAATTTTTATATTTTAAAGTAGTTATATTTTAACTTATCTTAATATGTATTTGTCTTTCTTCTGCTTGATTCTATCTAATTACATTTGCCATATCAAGCATTTGATATCAAGGGTAGGAACTGGTACTTTAAAAGGTGCTCATGTTCTTTCTTTTCTGCTTTTACATACATTTCAGAACTGTATGTGTATAGATTAAAGTAATTCTCTATAATTCAGTGTCCTGTGTCTCACAGTGGATAATATATTTTAGCAATTATAACCCAATATAAACATTTCAGCTGTGTATACTGTCGTTGTGTGTATGTTTGCAAGATGAATTTATTTTGGTTGCCACTGAAGGAGAGCAGTATTTTTGGGGTGGAGATTTTGGTTCATCTTGGATGGATGGAGCCCAGTTCTCAGGAGGAGGCCTAGCCCATCAGCAGCCCATTGTGTAATAAGAGTAAGAGAAAGTCATCACTGTCTTAAACCCATTTTTTACCTCAGAACCTTTCAAATACCCATCTTACTGTTCATATGGATCTTTATGTGCCCCAGAATACTGCATGTTTGTGGTGAATGCTCTTCTGAAATAAAAGTGTTCTACTCAGGCCTATCTGTCGAGCTTGGAAAACATCTATGAGTTTATTTGCTTAGTTTAGGAATAGTTTAGTAATCACACATGCATGGAATAATGCAGGTTGGAAAGGTCTTTAGACAATTTGTTGTCCAACCTCCCGCTCCAAACAGGCACAGCTCTGAGCTCAGTACAGCTTACTCAGGGCTGGAAAAGCTTTTCTTATACAAAGTCAGTACAAATGAATGTGGAAGTACTAAATGTGTTACCTTCTTGTACAGACTTTTCTTCCACATTTATTTCTCACCAAGAAAAATGATTTAGCCCTTCCTTCTAGAAGTAATTACTCTCCAACAAGTTCCCTTCTCTCACTGCTTAGTGTCTGGTGTAATAATATGGCAGGATGCCCAAAACTCATGAGTTCCCCCAAAACAATCAATTTCTAGATGAAAAGCTGCGAGGAAGCCAAAAGTGACTACATTTATAGCAGATAGGGTTGCAGTTTTTGTAAGCAGGCAGAGTAGGCTTTTGGTAATGACACAATGTTCTAAAGGATGCCAATGTGTTTGAACAAGCGGCAAATGATGGTCTTTGACTGCTGAAACTATGCAATATTTCACAGTGATGGAGTAACAAGTATCATATGCTCTGTTGTCATAGTTACTTTGTCTTCAAAGTACTGTGTTTTGCTTTCTTTTTTTCTTCTTAAGAAGGCTCCCTCAGCTATTGTGAATTATTTTTAGAGTATTATTTTCTGTCAGTTGTTTTTGGAGCTCTATTTCCTAAATTAGGATTAAAACATGTAGTAAGAAAGTGTTATGCACAGTAGTGCATTCTGTACATTCTGTAGTTCAGTGAGGACATATAAACAGACAGAACTTAGTAGCTACATAAAACCTGAATACACAGGAGCTTGGATAAGGTTCTGTGGTAGGGCCACACCTGCTTGTATGTCACCAAAAGTGCCTCAGTATCTAAACACAGGCTTTTGTTTTTCATATGTCAGACCAACACTACACTCCTACAAAGAATCAGAGGATGAAAACCTCGTGTTTCATAAGGTAGTCATTTATGAACATAATTGAGACTATTGAGTTTTTGATCCAAGAACGATGTCGCAGCTACAATGCAGGATGCTTCAGGGTGGCTCCTTAGGCAAAGAGCTGCCCTGTGAATGCTGTTCTGAACTGGGATTGTGCAATCCCAGAGGCACAGGTTGCAACCAAATTTGATTTCCATATTAGCATTGGCATGGGGCATCTCTTTAGCACTTAATCTGTTTGTTTTCACAAAAATTAAATTGAAGTTAAGCAAGCTGGAGGAGTTCATCTTATACTAGCTACCCAAACGTGCAAATAACTTTTTCAAATACAGAACAATGAAATCTGCCTGACAAGGCATGGAACTGAAGGCCAGAGCCCACTCTCATTTCTGCTACAACGGCCAGAGATAGGAGCAACTTGCTTAGTCATCCAAGTGACATAAGGCTGCACAGTGGAAATGTAGATAAGAGAAACAAAATATCACGATGATGCAATGAAATGTTTCTCAACTGGTTAGTCATAACTCAGTTTATAAAAGACAGTCGACACAGACATGAGATATTAAAACTTTTATTTGTAGCTGTGGAAACTGTGCTTAACCTACTCCTATGTACATACTTGCACTTAACGTTTGCATATTTTCTGTCAGTTCTTCTCAATACTGAGAAGTAAATTGTAAAAGCTTATTTTTGTTATTTGTATCACATACACTTTTTGTGTGAATGTCAAGATGCAATTGTAAAAACATTTTATTTTGAATCAGGACTGATAAGGTCAGAAGCTGACAAATGCTGCTCTGGTGTTGAGAACTCCAGTATGGAACACAGCGTCCATTCTGATTTTGAGGCTGCAGCAGCAGAGATAACATGGTTGCTCTTAGCAGTAGGAATTATTTCTGTAATAAATGTTTTTATTAAACAGACTGGGATCAAAGTCTTCAAAATACTCCTCTTTTTTGTTAAGATCTTCTCTTTATTAGGATTTCAATTACATTTCTGACTATTGTGGCACAGCTGTAGGAACACTTCTGGTATGAACCCAGTGTTAAAAACACTGTGAGGATTTTGATGTCTCAAACCAAAGGCTACCCGAATTAGAAGTATGATCTTGATGACTCTGCGTTAGTCAGCATTTAAAGATACATAGGGAAAATTCAAAGAATGGGGTTATAATTCGTATCTATTTAATATGTCAAAGCATATTCTCCTGTCTTCTATTAGTTTTTGGGTTAGGTGTTTGTGTACTGTTGTACTAAAAGATAGGGATGTATTTTTTTCTTCACAAAAGGATGTGGCTTTTGCTGTTTTCAAACACAGAATTTTATTTGAATTGTTTGCATGACAGGGGACATCAAATGCTAATTATTCAGACTGTTTACAATGTTTCAACCCATTCTTGCAGGCATCCTTCTATTTGGTTTTCTGGGATTCTTCACATGGTTTGAAATCACACAGTGCCTCTGATATCTGTCGTGCCATTTCACAATTGGAGATATGTGAAATAAAGAAACAATAATATAAAAAACTGTTTTCAATATCTTCCTCGGTGTCTATATGTAATGCAAGAATAAGACAGCATAGTCCTTTCTTTCAAGTGGCATGCAGTCTTTAACAGAATCCAGACTACAGAATGAGAGTGGGCAGTAGGGAGGGTATACCCACAGCATATACCTATGGCTTTGTTAAATTTGATGCATTTGCTACATCTTTATATTTCTTTTTCTTTTCTGTTTTTTTCAGTTACATTTTAGCTCTTTTCAAGACCTCAGTGGGATTTGTGAGAATAAAAAGGGAATTTTTTTTTTTAAAAAAAAGGGTGAAACCAGCAAAAATGAAAAATCTTCTGAGGGCAGAATGAGATTGTGAAAAGGCAACTGGTATAGCACAGATGGAAAGCAATGCCAGAGTTTAGAGGTGGAGGTGAACAGGGGTTGAATGCAGCATGCTGGAAGATGGAGCTAGATGGACACTGACACATGTTGGATATGAGCTGAATATGGCTGGTTCATGGCACTGGTCAATTCAGCAAAATTAAGTGAAACAATAATTTAAAACATTTTTGCCCTTCATCTGTATTTGCAATCACTTTTTGCAGACATTCTGATAAAGTTACTCAGTTTCTCTACATATTAGAAAATAAACTATGGAGGTTTTGTTTAGTCTGTAACATCATTATTATTCAACCTTTCACTTGAAGTAGTTTAATTTCATTCTTATCTGTTTTGACAGCTGAATCTTATCTTCTTGGTGATCACATTGTGCAAAATGGTGAAGCACTCAAACACTTTGAAACCAGACTCTAGCAGGTTGGAAAACATTAAGTAAGTGCTTTGTGTTCAAGTATGAGAACTGTGATTATTTTCTGATTGCTGAACTGATTGAAGGCTACTTTCCATTAGTAGCACATGCCATTCTCTCCCAGCAACTGCAGATGTCAATTAGAAGCAAACAGAACCAATCCTGCTTTCGTCACATTGTTTCTGTAATGTCACAAATGCTGGTCAAAATTAGATAATTTCAGCCTGGAAGTAGTGCCAAGAAACTGTTTCATGGAAATACCACTGCACTGTAGTAATTTCATTTGCATTTAAAATGCAGTTCAAAAATGATGTTCCTGTTTGCATGACTGATATGATTATATTAAGTTTATTTTGTTAAATGACTTTTTGATTTAAGGATTCTGAGCAGTTTCTACTCGTAATCCTGTTCTCCCAAGAGAATTGACTCTATTATTATTGTTAACTTGAAGATTATCTGCTGTTTTCATGCTAATTTAGCAAATGTTTACTTTATCTCGGTGCTGTAATGCAGTATCCTTTTTGCAGAGTAATGCAAGTGTTATATAATTAACGAGGTTTTGACAGCTCTTGCTTCTTTAGCTTATAGCTTTATGTTGTACTGAAGGTTCTTGTTATCAACACTGAAGGGATGGTGCAATTTTATAATACTAAGGGTTGGATATGAAAGGGTCTTAGAGATTTACTTTGAATTTTGAAAATGGCAAAGGGAGATTTTCACTAAGGCTAACATTGTGACTAGATGTTATGGATAGGTCAGTATCAGCTTCATTGCATGTTGCATGATGAGAGAGAGAGCTAATCTTTAGCATCTCTCTCTTTTCTTCCTTTTCCTCTTTCTGTCTTCTCATCCACACCAGTAATTACCGTGTTTGTGATGGCTACTATAATACGGACTTACCTGGGTAAGATAGAACCCTACATTAACAAATTTCTGGCATGACTTTTAACTTTACAAACTCGGTCAATATTGTGGATTGCCCTTAATTTTAATTAACTAGTTTTGAGATACCTGATTTGCTAAAGAATTTTTAACTATTATATGCCTTTATAATTTTAAATTGCTTGCCTCTGCATTTTGAATTTCCTAATTTTGACTTATTTTTATAGACAATTGAAAATGCTCTTATTAATTTCTGTTTCAATTCTGTCTAATAATTTTGTTTCTCTTTTCTGCTTATAATGCTTTCTAGCTATGAAGATAATAAGCCATTTATCAAGTAAGATCATTAGTTAGATGTGGAATTCACTGACTAAATTCCCTTTCCCTTTCATTCTGTGCCGTTCTCTACAGTTCCTTTTCCTTAACCTATTCATGATGGAATCTTTTTTACACTATTCTATAGAGCAATTTCCATATTTTTGCCACATTTCAGCAGAGTTTCTTCATGCAGAAGTTAGATCATCTAGCTTCAGTTTAGCTGAGTTTATCAGAGCATTAAAGATTTGGGCTCTAGGCTCTTAATCTGCTGTTTAACCTTTGTGTATTTGTGTTACATTATTTGGTGTCATTTAGCAGCACCACTGTTTAAAATCTATGCTGTGATTAGCGTCTAAGCCAGATTTATCAATCTCTTTTGTAATAGCAGATAAGGCAATGGAGTAGTTGGGGTTTGCACTATACTTCGACATTTCAAAGTATTTTTGACATCCTATGCAGTTCTTGAGAAAGTAAAAGGTCATATCTACTCTTGCTGTTTTCGCTGGAGACTAAAAGTACCAAATGGAATTGTTCTTTCTGTAATAGATGAAAGGTTAAACCCAAGGAATTTTTACAATTGAATATGAACTTAGTAAAAGTCAACTGAAGGAACTGAAATGTTAATATTGGATTTGGCAACATGCAGTCTTATAAGTAATGTTAGTAAAATTAATTTTCTTTTACAGATCCTGGGTCCTGGGTGCATTTGCTCTCCTGTGTCTTCTTGGCCTAACGTGGTCATTTGGCCTACTGTTTATCAATGAGGGAACAGTTGTGATGACGTATCTCTTCACAGTATTTAATGCTTTCCAAGGAATGTTTATTTTCATCTTTCATTGTGCCCTTCAAAAGAAAGTAAGTTACTGCAAACAGAGGCGTGTGCTCTATATGTCCTTAAAAATACCACATATATTTCGTGAAAAAATAGAGTACATTTTGAGAATAGGAGTATTTTGAAGAAGTTTAAGGAAGAGACTAGGATCGAAAACAGTTCTTGCTGCATGTGCTTCTGAGAGTCATTTAACTGCTTTTTGGCCTGCATGAGTTTAAAATGGATGCAGTATTTCCAACTTGGGCTTTAAAGTTTAGAAACTTTGGGACAAAAATACAGAAGCTGTATTTAACATTTGTGATGCGGTATGTATAATTTTGAATCCACAGCCAAAAGTCTTTATGCACTTATGAATCAAATCCTGCCTGCAGCACTGCAAAAAAAGGGATCTTTTACAGTATCAGCCCATCTCAGCCTGGAAACATTCTCGCAGATCAAGGCAAAGACTTCTCATGAGGTCCTATTAAGCTGCCACATAAAACTACAGGTGATAGGCAGGGATTATGCTGCGAGCGCTTGTTCATTACAAAATTAAGTCAGATCTGAAAAGTAATTTCACTGTGAACTTCAGCACACCTAAAGAAAAAGTAGCCATTAACTGCAGACAACTGGTAATGAGGGGAGTTTACTAAGTACACCAGCATGACTACTTGTTTTCAAACATTTGCCTCCCCCTGCACACCAATAGCTAAGTGCTCTTAGCTGGAGAAACTGGTATCCCCTGGCAACTACCTTCCCTAATGAAGAGATGCTCTAAATTAGTTCAGGCCCCCTTTGCCCAGATCTGCTGAATAGAGGGAAGCTCATAGAGGAGAGATAAACAGACAAGTGAGATGGAATTGAAGGACACAGCTAGGCGGGATCAGGTTTCCCACTCTCTCTCTGTGTCCCAGACTGAGAATGGAGAATGTTTTCATGCCTTAGAGATGCTCCAATGAAGGATAAAAGTAAAATGCTCATAGAAAGCACAGCAAATGAAAATAAAGAGTTGAGAGCAGAGGGGAAATGTGTACGTCAGAAAAAGCCCACCACAGACCATAAGATAAAATGCAGTAAGTCCGTTGTTTGGCAACACCCAACTTGCAATATTTAGGTTCTAAATATTTGTACCATTTTTAGGCAGGAGGCCTAGCAGTTATTAACTGCCTTTATAATTAGTTCACCAGAGAAATATTTAACTGATATTTATAAAGTGGTTAAAGATTCTTGGATAAAAGGTTATTACATAAGGGCAAAATCACATTCTTGTGTGTTCTCAGCTCTTAACAGTGCCAGTGTCTCGAGATTTGGTGTAGACAATGGCTTTCAGACATGTTTTGGGAAAAGATGTGGAAGACAGAATGGATTTTATCCAGAGGAAAATCGTATAGCTTTCATTTTGAGATAATAAAAACACACTTGGAGAGGAGAGTGATCATAAGAAAAGAGGGAAGAAATTTTCAAAATGTAAATAATTTCTAGATTAAGGTTTCATATCATGTTGCTTTTTTATCACTTGTGTTGGGCTTGAAAATAAAAAACAGATTCTATTTCTTTTTACAGCTATGCATTGTTTTTTTTTATTAAGTGGAGTCAGCAAAAAGCAATATTAAAATACCAGTCAAGTGTGAAAAAGCATAACCTGGAGCAATAAGATTTATACCTGGAAGAATGTTAAAGATGCCATTTAAGATTTTTAAGTTTCAGTGAGTTTGACTGGATATTATCTGATCCTCTGTCTGCATAGCTAATATAGTCTTTTTATTCTGTTATTACTAGTTGGTCACTAAATTGAACAGAGAAATAGAATTGTGAAAGTGAAAACTATTATGTTTGCAGTTCTGACGGGATGATAGTGCCGTTGTTTCCAACTATTTCCAACAAGCTATAATTTAGAAATAATGACAGAGGAACGCGCTGTAGTGACGGATAATGCACATTCACAGCAATATAGGCATTAGGCAAAACCAGCCCTGGAGGGTGGCATTTGGATGAAAATATAGTTCTGATTGCTATTGTCTCTACTATATAGTGTTCTGGAGCATTTAATATCCATTAATGGTCAGGAATGTGTTTTCTTAAGTGTTACAGACTTTCATTTTTGAGAATGTGAAGATAAAGGTTACAATTCTATGTCCAGGCCTTTCTGTTTTTCCTGTTTTCCTTTTTGTATGTGTGTTTTGTGCTGATATTGGTAGGAGTTAACTTAAAATATATATGATATTCTTTTAAATAGATGAGTTGTTGTCCTCTGGTGGAAATTAAAGCATTAACTATTCAAATTTTCCTGAACTTCATGGTTTATAGAAACACCACATTAGTGGTGATAAAGTTATTGGAGTATTGGCTTATGTAAATTCACAGTTAACTTTTTGCCTTTTTCCTTCCTTCATTTCTCAGTTTTACACACACACAAGTTTATTTCTGTGCCATATATTCTGTAGGCCAAGCAGAATTTACAGATTAGCTGAAATGTCACTTTTCAGAGGAATTTAGAAGTCTCATCGATGCACATGAGACTCCAGGATTATCAAGAATCTGGCAGAAGATTTGTGAATGTAATATTTGGCATCTTTACAAGTTTTATCCAGCGCGTCCTTTCACTGATCATGTTGCCAGGATACATGTGCTCTTTTGTGTTATTGAAAAATAAATAGCAATGTAGCAGTCATCAAACGTGAGAGAATTAAAAGCTCTGTAATATCATCCAGATTATTTCTATGACAGTATTAATGCACATTACAATGTTAATGCACATTACAAAACTAAAGTTTCCAGTAGCTCAATGGAAACAGAAGGTAAATCAGTGCAGGTCAAATACTAAAATTATTAAGCCATCAGAATAATGTTGTTCTGTTAGACAGAAATTTCATATACTTAACAAGTGTGTTCACATCTCTATGGTCAGAAGAGACAATAGCAAAGATTCTACTTTTTGGTCCTAAAAACAAAAGATGCTTAGTTTCCCAGCCTGTACGTTTCAACTCCTGGCTCTGACCTTTGCTGGTGCCCTACTGCTGCAGCTGCTGAGCTAGCGACTATTTGAGTTACCCAGAGTAACTTCATATGAAAAAATGCTCACAGTCCTTGCAGTTTAGACTAAATACAGTCTTCTTGGCATGCTTTCCTAAAAGGAGTAACTTAAATGGGAAGTACTGAGAAGCTCAAAGGCTCGTTGCCTCAGCCTTTCTTGTATGCCAAGATGGGAAGACAGGCTTTCTATGGCTTGTGCACCAAAAACTATTGCAAAAAATGACTATTTTCAGCCAATATTCCATTCAGGTAAACAACTGTATTAATCCACAATATGAAGACAAAACAAAAATAATCCTGTAACAACTCAGCAACAATTATTCATATATGTCTAAATGAAATACATGTATACTTCAGAAATAATTCAAAAATGCTGGCTAACCAATAATGCTGCCATTAAATAAGGCAAAATATCTAATTTTGCTAAAGGCCATCATTTCAGTAGGCAAGAATTATGTATTTGTTCAAAAAGCAGTTGAGTGTTGTCAGTGCAAGATTGATGTCTTTTTTGTCAATAGAGGTGTTTGACACTCTATTTTTTGCGCTAAAGTATTTTTTTTCTCCATAGGTACGTAAGGAATATGGCAAATGCTTCCGACATTCCTACTGCTGTGGTGGACTACCAACTGAGAGTCCTCACAGTTCAGTGAAGGCATCAACAACAAGAACAAGTGCTCGCTATTCCTCTGGCACTCAGGTAACAAAGATTTTGACAACATCTTTTAATTAACCTTATTTATAAAAAGCCCCCTGAGATCTGCTCCAATCAGAAGTACTAATTGTCTTCTCATTATTATCACTTAGGTAGCAAATACATAGTTCTGCATGCTAGAATTGATTTCTTTTTAAAGATTTTATTTTAATTTGGTCTAATGCAAACGCCTTATTTTTCTTATAATTATGGGCTGGTTTATTGGAAGGTTTATACTATCATGTTTCATCTAAATGAAATTTAATAAATTAGAATTGTAATAACAGAGGATGGAGCTTTGCTCTCTACTATAAGAATGGCTTACTTTAGTGCAAAATAAATGAGAATAAATAATAGTACACAAGTAGGAAAAAATCTTCTGTAACTTAATGCGCTCTGTCTTACTGCTTTACATTAACAGAGTCGTATAAGGAGGATGTGGAATGACACTGTGAGAAAACAATCTGAATCTTCTTTTATCTCAGGTGACATCAACAGCACTTCAACACTTAATCAAGGTCAGTCACTGGGAACATTTCAGTTTTAGAAGACAAATTTTTTACAGATTTTATATAATTTAATTTAACACAGAAGAATTGAAAAGAACGTGTTGAAAAAAAAAATCTGTAACAAATGTACTCTAAAAGCAGAGTTTTAAAGTCATCCACCAGCACATTTTAAAGCCATGTTCCCTCAGCTGGCCCCCTGATATAGAAGTTGAATTCCTCCATTCATGGGAGAGCATTTAAATAAGTTTCATCAATAATTTAACTTAAAAGCAAGATCATAATTTTGAATCTTTTCTAACCTTTATAGGTTAAATCTGAAACAGAAATATGAGTGCAGTAACATTTTAATGCATATTTGACTATGATTTTTAGGTGCAGAAATTTTCCCAGTGAAATCTAATTGATATCATTTCTATGCAAAAGATGTCTGTAAAGCATTTATCTTTTTTATTTCAAAGAGCATTGTATCTGTCATATGGGATAGGATCCAGATTTTCAGGCACAGAAGCCAAAACTTTAAGTTTCTTATCTTGATTAGACTTTGAAATCTGTAACTGCATTTTCATGTCCACTTAGAAGACGAGGATATTAATCAACACAGAATGTCCCTTCTTTTTTCTCCATTTTCCCCACCCCTTTTAAAAAAACAAAAACAAAAACAAAAAAAAAACAATTTAAGTAATGGAGGCGAAGAGTGTGAAAGCCAAGCTCACAGCCTATTGTTCCACTCACATCCCTAAGAGACAAACGTAGTTCTGACCAGTTCCTGCTTGGCTTAAAAAGTTTCAAACAGAAAATTCACCATTGTCAGGACTACTGTAAAACCCTTGTGAACCACAAATGGCAAATTTTCTCCCTTGTGCTTTTTTCAAGATTTGGTGGTGGAGACCTGTACTTAACTCATGTTTGCTTTGGAAGTAAAAAGCGTAGTATTTGGCAAAAGACAAGATTTCAAAAAGCATGATCCTACTGGCTTACAGAAATATCTAAGACAACTTGTGTGTCTTATTGTTCCCTCCTGAATCTTTATGTTCTTCTGGCAAAATTAATATATATATATATATCCTTAGTAGAAAATCTATTTCTTATTTCATTTCTTAAAAGCCCACAAATATGTTATAAATATAAAAGTCTGGGATTTCACCATAGGAGGTACACTTTGCCCATGCTACAGCTTCAAGTGGTTCAGAGCTGAGCACAGATCTTGGAGGCTTTTCCCTGCTGTGGAGCTCCAGTCTCATCACTTGAGATGCTCCACAATGGCTAAAAAAAATTAATTGATGCTGTTGTTATTCAATTACAATAATTCTGCTATCTCAGGGGTAAATACCTGTAAGAAAAGTTTAGTGATTATCTAGTAATTAGTGTTTTCTTTAAAATAAAAATCAGCACCTTAAAGTAAAAGAGAAATACTTTGGATTGGATAACAAATTTTGCATACTATAAATAATTCGAGATTGTAATTCAAATAACAATATTAAACATGGTACACAACAAGAAGTATTTCAGTTAGTTTTTCTTGTAGGAATTAGATTACCACTGAAAAAAGCTACAGTGAACCGTTTTGTAGTTGTTCACTGACACAAACTATCATTATCAGGCCCTAGATCTCTGCATCTTAGATTTTTCTGCTTCTGTACAGTACCAAGCATTAATATAGAATATAATATCACTTTTTCCATTGCCAAATAAAAATACAGTATATAGATATAGCTGGCTTATTACTTCCATTCTGATTTGTTGCTGTGCAGTGCAACACAAAAGGAAGTAGAAATTTAACTTTATTGTTTAAAGTAAGTTTTCTTTGTCACTTTTCCAGACAGCTTTTCTTTCAGTATCTAGAAGTCAGAGATTAACTGTCTTTTTAGATCTCAAAAGATGCTTTTTTTTTTTTCATTCTTTAAATGATGTTGCACTAACATTTAAACTGAGTTTTAAAAGGTCCGTTCATTCCTGTAGTATCATGCTTCGCATTACAGTGTTTGTGAACTGATTGTTTAAATAAATTTGTCATTCAAGAAATTCTTTTTTAAAACCTGGCAGATAAATTTGTAGCATGAATGTCCCAGGAGAAAATGTGAATGCTCTGATTTCTTAGAGCAAATATTTTGCTTTCCCCTCAGCATGCATATTTTTGCGTATACTAAGATATGCTTGCAGTTCGTCATCTACTCTGTGTTTGAAAACACAATTCCCTTCCACTCTCCGTGTGTTTGTCATAAAGTGAATAACAGCTCTGATCCTGTCATAAGAGATTTTTCAATACCTTTAGATTTAAGAAACTCAGTTCCCTCCATTCTGGACAGAAACATTCCGTGATACCATTTTAAAAGTTGCAGTAGCTTTATGTAGTACCTTGATCTCTACCCATTTAATTGCTATTCTTATGAACACCAATTTTGTGTACATTAGTAAATGTCACTCTCACCAGATGTTTACTTTGGGGATTTGGACAGCACCTGTGAATTACTGGAATCTAACTGTATTTTCCTACTCCCGTTTCAAACATATAGCTCAGATATACTCAGAAATTTTCATCTGCATTACATTTGACAGGTTCTACATGATTCATGATGAATAAAAATATTCTTTATTGAAACTGTCAGAATAAAATTAAAGAACTGACATTTTTTTCTGTTTCTTTTGCTTCAGGAATGACTGGCAATTACCTACTAACAAACCCTCTTCTTCGACCACACGGCACTAACAACCCCTATAACACATTGCTCGCTGAAACTGTTGTATGTAATGCCCCTTCAGCTCCTGTGTTTAACTCACCAGGTGTGCTTATACTTCCTGAATAAAACCGCTTTTCTTGGCTTGCTCCAAATCCCTTCTTTTCCCTAGGTAGAAACTCAAGTTGCAATACCTTAGCCATACATTCAAAATTTCTGTCAGTTTGAGAAATGCAGTATTACCAATGTCAGCTTGTAAAACTGCACTATATTATAGTAATGCCTTTGCCGTAACAGTATTTACCAATAATTATCCATGTTTTTAACACAGGTGGCATAAATCTTAATATACTATTACAGGACTGACACCACATGGTCCGAGAGTCCATCTTCAAGATATATATCACTTAGAGGTATCATGTCTATACAATGTAAGGTTGACTCTAAAGCTTGATGAGAAAAACCTGCTCACGGAACGGATTAGGTACTAAAGCAATGCAAGGCATCTTGACACCTTTGGATACCGCAGCATAGAAAATTGTATCCAGCGTCAAACAGATCTATAGTATAGTGCAGCTTTATGGTAGATCATTTCCTGTAGGAAAGTCATGAGATTAACAGTTAGAACAGTTTAGTTCTGTCAGCATAAAGGGTGTCATCACTTACCTAACATTTTGTTGTTACATCCTCTAGTTGCTTTTTTTAACTACAGTGCAGTTCATCAGTAAATATCTCGCAGTTTCTGTTAGATGAGTCGTTAAGATCACTTTAGTATTACTGGAACAATAAATCTTTGATAAAGAGCTCATGTTTCCAGATTTTATTTCAAGTTTCCTTTTTAACTGAACTGTAGTTTCTATTTTCATTCTCTTGTTTTCTTACTTTCCTTATGCTTTCCTCTAGCAACCTACAGAGAGACAAGTATGGGAGTAAAACTTAACTTTGCCTATCAAATGTAAATTTTTTCAGCATGATTTTTAATGGGCACAATTAAAACATAACTAGCGGTCATGAAGTAGACTCAGCGGGCAAGTGGTTCACAATTTGCAAATGAAATGTTTCCACATTCAAAAAGTACTTGCATACTGCTTTTTGGAAAACAACATGAGGTCTGTAGCAAACCCCATTGGTAACGGAAGTTATACAATGCTGAAATAATTTGCTGTTCAAAACCAAAGCAGTGTCAAGCAGAAACGCTTAACAATTTACTTATATTTTTACATTCCCACAGTAATCTTGCTACAGGCTATGGAAAGATTTCAAATAATTACCTGATCATGGGCAACAAAATTTGCCTCATCAAACCAATTTAAATATATTTTAGTATGCTTAACTCTGCAGTATATCATAGAAAACTCATTTTGGATTATCAGATACATTTTGGTATCTGCTTAGCAAAAGAAAAGAGAATTAAAATTATAGAATTAAATCACTTTCATGAGGGAAATGAATGCCAGCATGTGGTCCATGTGTTGTCTACTTTTATAAATGCCATATGTTCTGCACAGCTAAAATCCATTGCAAGAAAAAGCCTTAGAACATATATGAAATTGCAAAACTACAAAGTTGTTTAATCAAAGCTTAAGGAGACCTTTCAAACAACCTTCATCTCTGTTTAAATCAGTATACATGAAGAGGAGCTAACAGTAACAGAGTTACAAAATGATTTGCAAATTACTTCAGATTTATTCGGAAATTATTACTCTGCTTTCTAAAGTTGAAGACAAAACTCTTTCATGAGAAAATGCAATTACTTTTTAATTGAAAACAGTATTTTCCAGAGAAGATTGAATTTTCTAGGATAAGCTGCAGCTTTAATTATGCAAAAACAAACAAACAACAACAAAAACAAAAAATGTACAATCTTCTCCAAAACAACTTTTTTCTTATACTCCTCCAAGCCTTGCATATAATGCAGCAGCCTCACAGTGGTCAGTCTCATTTCAGTAGTCACTCCATTCTTTCTTCTGTAGATGAAGTGATTTACTAGGAATGCTCTAACCATCCAACTTTCCATGATTCAGACTGTTTATTTTCTTTCAAAGTTTTTTCTTTTCCTTTGCTTGAGAAGCACTGTGCTGTCATAGTTTACATGTCTTTGTGTCTGTAGGAAATCCTTTTCTTTATTGTGTTATCCCCCCTTACTACCACCAAAAACAAAAAGTCAAAATCAAAGACCTTAATCATCATAAGACTTCATTTTCTCCCCCTAAACTTATTTCATGTTTCTTAGCAGACTTACCCAATCTGTCATTTGTCCAGCAGCTACGAGATATCAGCCATGGCTGATTTCCTCTTCCCATTCCACAACTAATATTTATTCTTTGGTTTAATTTCTGTGACACATACTTACAGAAATTTCTAACATTTCCGCATTTGACTTCCATGCCCATGGTAACTGTGGGCCTAACTCTTAATTAACTATTCCAGTTCATTCAGCGCTGTCACTGTGACTGATGCAGACTGCAGGCAAACTTTGACCTTTAGAAGCCTGGGGCCATTGTTGGCAGACAGAATTAGTACAAAAAAATTACATTAAGTGGGAAAAGAAAAGCTGTTATTGCTTAGTAATCTAATTTGCTGAACCCTTGCTCTGACTAAGTTGCTGAGAAGCTCAGTAATTCTTCATCATGTTACAATAAATCATTTTACTTTCTTTTATATATCAGCTACTCTTAGGCCAGATAGCCTGAGCAGACAGACATGATGTGAGTTGTCCAAAGTGAGTCATTCCACCTGCTGTCTATCGTGTTGTTGGATGGTGCTTGTGGGCCCTGGTCCCTGTAGTGTGAAAGATGGCTGTCCTTGTTTAACATAAATTCTTTGTATTTATCCATTTTTTTTCATTCTTTTCTTTACCTCATCTCAAAAAAAAAAAAAAAAAAAAAAAAGGGAAAAATGTTAGAAACGTGTTAAAGTAGTTGCTTGCCAGTTATGTGGGTTTATGTTGTACATTTACCTTCAGTTATGTCTGTGATCTAATTCCTTTTTAATTTAGTGTTGTTTAGGACAAATTCTGTTAATTTTCTTTCTTCTAAATCATGGTGACGTACTTCAAAACATAGATGTTTCCAAACAAATTGCTTTGCATTACATATGCAAGGGCATGGAGTGAACAGTTCCTTGTGGAAGAGTCACAGAAATGACATTAAATTAAGAAATTAAAATGCCACTATTCCCCACAGGAAATGCATGTTACTATTGTATAAAGGCATCTTTCCTATAAGGCGTGCAACTGTTTACGTTTGGGAATGTTCAATAACCTAACTTTTCTCAAGTCCTACTTTCAAGTACAACTTTGTCCTGAACTACATTAAAGAATTTTGTTTAAAAAAAAAATGTGTTAAGCATATCAGGCAATAACCAGAACCGTCCTTTTCTGTTTCAGGACATTCACTGAACAATGCCAGGGATACAAGTGCCATGGATACTCTACCGCTAAATGGTAATTTCAACAACAGCTACTCTTTGCGCAATGGTGACTATAACGACAGTGTGCAAGTTGTAGACTGTGGACTAAGCCTGAATGATACTGCTTTTGAGAAAATGATCATTTCAGAATTAGTGCACAACAACCTGCGGGGCAACAGCAAGAACCACAACCTGGAGCGCACACTGCCAGCCAAGGCTGTGATCGGTGGGAGTAGCAGCGAAGATGATGCCATCGTGGCAGACGCCTCATCTTTGATGCACAGCGACACCCCTGGGCTGGAGCTGCACCACAAAGAGCTCGAGGCCCCACTTATTCCTCAGCGGACTCACTCCCTTCTGTACCAGCCCCAGAAGAAAGTGAAGACCGAGGGAACTGACAGCTATGTCTCACAGCTGACAGCCGAGGCTGACGACCACCTCCAGTCCCCCAACAGAGACTCTCTCTACACAAGTATGCCCAACCTCAGAGACTCTCCGTACCCAGAGAGCAGCCCCGATGTTGAAGAAGATCTCTCTCCTTCCAGGAGAAGTGAAAACGAGGACGTTTACTACAAGAGCATGCCAAATCTAGGAGCTGGCCATCAGCTTCAGATGTACTATCAAATCAGCAGGGGTAATAGCGACGGCTATATAATTCCCATTAACAAGGAAGGATGTATTCCAGAAGGAGATGTTAGAGAAGGACAAATGCAACTAGTGACAAGCCTTTAATAGTGTAGCAAAGAAATATTAAAGGCCATGTACAAGTATTAAAAAGACTTAATTGGCCCTGTGCAGGCTCCCTCGTATCTGCTTGAAGAGACAATTCTGTTGACCCTGTGGTTCTCCTCTGTAATGGGGATGACTGGACCTCGCAGTTCTGTGAATTTTTATAAAACAAAAACTTTGTATATACACAGAGTATACTAAAATGAATTATTTGTTACAAAGAAAATACCAACAAGGTATTTTAAGATATCTTCTGCTGCTGAATTTAACAAAATTGTGAAAAAAGAAATAAAACACTTTCCAGCCATTTTACTGCAGCAGTTTGTGAACTAAATTTGTAAATATGGCTGCACCATTTTTTTTTTCCTAGGCCTACATTGTATTATATACAAGGCGTAGGCTCTAAAATCCTGTGGGACAAATTTACTGTACCTTACTATTCCTGACAAGACTTGCAAAAGCAGGAGAGATATTCTGCATCAGTTTGCAGTTCACTGCAAATCTTTTCCATTAAGGCAAAGATTGAATACATGTCTAACCACTAGCAATCAAGCCACAGGCCTTATTTCATATATTTCCTCAACTGTACAAGGAACCGTTCTCATGAAAAAAATGGCTAAAGAAATTATATTTTGTTCTATTGCTAGGGTAAAATAAATACATTTGTGTCCAACTGAAATATAATTGTCATTAAAAATAATTTTAAGAGTTTGAAGAAAATATTGTGAATCGCTCTTGGTTGCACATATAAGCTGTTTTTCTTACACTCTGTTCATAGTACAGTAGTAAGTTTAAAATGCAAGTTCTGCCCGTTTTTCACTTATTTTTCACTGTAAACAGTGTTCTGCTTTGACAAGTTAGGTTTTGTTCTTTTCTTTTTTTAATTTTTATTGCCAAAAACATAATTTGGGGAGAAAATTGTTTTAGAAGCCAATTATGCCAAGCCTTGCACAAATTTGGTATAGGTAACAAAGATTGTAACTCAGTTCCCTGTTCATTCTTAACCAGGGTTGGGTGGTAAGGGGCAAAGGGGACACTGGACACTTCTCACAAACTTTCTCGTGAATAAAAGGTGCCTGTCCTTTAAAAAAATAAATAAAACATAACTATTACTCTTCCATATTCCTTCTGTCTATATTTAGTAATTAATTTATTTTATGATAAAAATCTAATGAAATGTAAATTGTTTCAACTAAATTCTGCTTTTTTCATCCCTTTGTGTAAACTTGTTAATAATGAGCCCATCACTAATATCCAGTGTAAAGTTTAACACCTGTTTGACAGTAAATAAATGTGAATTTTTTTCCAAATAGGTAAAATGTGCATTATTATGTACAAAGCATAATTGGCATCAGCAAGTCCTTTGACCCAGCTGTATCCTGCTTAGAATGGCTTCTTTACATTTTATGATTTAAGTGTTGAGAATACAACAGAAACTGTCTGTGTAGTGCTACAGAAGAGTTCATCTTTACTATTCATTACCTTAGTCACAATTAAATAGGATCAAATTCAGACATAGCAGGGTCATTGGGAAAAAGTACTGTAATTTCATATATTTACACAGTTTTTAAGTAGGCATATGTATTGAAATAAAATACCACTATCATAGTCTCAGCAACAGTAATTAGCAGTAATTATTATAGTGATGAAGATATATTCTTGTAGCAGGGAAAACGTAAGCAGCATTTGGGTAGTACTCAGAGTGCTATACAAATAATCAATCCATCACCGTTTTGAATTAGATAAATGAGCATGACTGCCCTCATTTCTATCAGACAGGAAAACTGCAGAAGGCAGTCCAAGATGTTATCTACAAATAAGTGGCAAAATTGGAAGTCTGAAATCTTTGTTTCCTTGGTTCCCAAGCCTCTTTCTGTCCCTCTAACACCAGGGCTTCTCACAGATCATGCCAAGGACTTCATTTGTTACAGCTTCCGAAAATGCTTTCCTTCATTATCACAGAGGCCACTGTTTCACGTGTGGACAGTGTGACTGAATACAGGCATGACAACAGCAAAAATTCATTTGAAAGCCTTATAAATTCTAAGTTGCTTCTAAACTGCTAGTATGTATAAAGCTCCATTAGGAATATATATTGATGCACGATAGTTTTGCATAGGTGCATTTTGAAAAAGTTTGGATTTCAAAAAAATTCTGGGGGCAAGAATTCCTGGTATTGAGACAGATCTAACTCTATAAAAAATACCTGGGTAAAGGTAACCTCATAGCTCAGATAACCTCAGTATATCTGTAATCAGGCCTGTGACTGTAGCAGTTATCACTGAAGACAAAGGCATCTTTACTGTATCCTACTGGTAGTTCTTGCCAGTAAGTTCCTTAATACTTAGAATTTACTATCTTCATGTCAAAGTCATTTAAAATTTAATCAGAAACTGTTTACTTCTGTGTAATAGAGATGCTTTAAAAAAATCTGAAGTCTCTGTGAAGTAAGGGTTTGTTCTGATTCAGGGTATACCAGCAGACAATTTGGAGCAAAATGATTCCCTTGGTCTGCCTGGCAACTTAAAAACATACCTGCTGCCTTCTACCTAGGAAATCACATCTTAGGGATTTAAACCCATGGTGCTCAAGTAATTACAGTACATGACCTAGTAACATCACCAGCTTTCAGCAGAATATTCCACCCTAATTCAAGCGAGTACTCCTTTGTGTCACATTGTCTAACTAGCAGTGGTGAAACTATATGCTGGAAGGTTTGTAGCATTGTGATACTAAAAATATAACCAATTGCAAATGTAACAAGTATTCATAAAATAAAAGAAAATTGAGCTGATGAACCTAAGATGAACCAGCTGAACCTAAGTATCACACCGGAATTCTTTTGTTAGCTTCTTTGTAGTAAAGATGTTGCTTTTTAGCAAGCCTGTTTTTGTTTTTTTTTTTTTTCCTTTTTATTTTTTCTTTTAATGTTTTGATAGTGAAATGTCCTGTGTTTAGCTAGCAGCTAGCAGGCAATAGCTTGCCAAATTTCTGTTGGTGTAACTTCTCAGTGTAGTAGATTACAATATAATTATATAGCCGACAGCTTATTGTAATTTCTTTGTGTTCTCTCTCACGTTCCTGCCATCTTGTCTTGGGATCAGAAGGACAGAAGAATTGAGAGGAAGAGTTCAAGAATGGCAAAATAATGACAGCAGAATTAATGGAAACAAGTGTTTGTCCAGGGTCACCAGTTAACCAGTTCCTACGATGGTGCCAAGGATATGCTGCTATTTTAGGCACTGTCTTTCAGAAGAGCTGTAATTTTCTTATGGCTAGTAATCTCCTGTTAGTATCAGTGTTAACCCTACTGGCTCCATCCAATTCTTCCTTGTAACTTCAGTCCAGTTATATTCCAGCAAAAGATTAAATGGGATGTGCATTTAGTGAACTGTTGTATAATGGTGCTATGCATTGTTTAATATAAAATACATCTCAATTCTACATAAGTGAACCATAACATGAAGAAATGCAACACTGGTAATACCTTTATAGTTAGAATTAACCTTTATCTGTGAACTCTACAATCCACCTTTGCTTCTTTTAAATTGGAAATGAAATTACTAATAAAGTTTACATACATTCACTTACATAGACAATAAAAGGTGTTTCAAATTGACGGAAGTTATGGATAAAATATGTGTCATTTTATGTCCTAATTTTTAAGGAATTTTTCTTTCTGAACTGAACAGACATTAACAGAATAACAAAAATAACTGTTCCCTGTATACTGTTATCCAGTTTTGCCTCAAAACTAACAAAGCCTGTCTTCCATAATTGATTATGTGACAACTTAGGATAAAGTTCTCTCTGAATGTAGCTTTTTAAAAATCAAGAGTAGCTACAGGCAGACAGCTATATATACACGTACACACCTTCACAGGAGTTTCAGCTCACACATTCTAAGGGATGATTGAGAGTGAGAAGCACTGGGAGACATCTGCAGTTCTTCAGTTTCAGCTCTGCTGTAGCCCTACAAAACACTTCAGCCCTTCAAAGAGGGAGCTCACAGTGAAACATACTTCAGATTTTTTTCAAATAGTTGGTGACAATTGACCTCCACATTTATGAAGGGCATTGCTACCATTCCAGGAAGCAAGGGGGTTGCAGCATGGGTCCATATTCATGGCTGCCTGGCATGCTGAGTCTCTACCCCAGAACTACACTAGAGGTTGGAATCCAGCTCCGTACTGAAGTTAGCACAGCCCTGGATGCAAGAGATTTGTGCCTCACGTATATAACCAGTAGGAATTCAATTAACGGATCCAGCTTGGTCATCCAGCTCTGGCAAAAAATCTAGAGTAAGTGTTCATTAGAACCCTGTCCATTTCAAGAAAGCTTTTTTTTTTTTTTTTTCCTTCAGTAAAATACTTCATGTGATTTTTAGAATGACAACTTCCAAATCCCTTTATTCATGCAGGATAAATTCTCAATGGTATTTCATTAATTCATGCCTAAGAGCATTAATATCTCTTCTTACTGTATTATGTCATCATTAATCTCAACTGCACCCCATCAACATTCCTGGCATGTGAAACAGATCACACCAATATGCAGACAGAGTGGGTAGCAGTGCTGCAGACAGCCACACAAGCCCCAGCTCAGCAGCAAGGAAATTTAAAGCACCATTCCATATAACAGACCAGCATGAAATCCCAGACTGAGGAAGTCACAGTGGCAGAAGTAACATTCAGAATAAGTAGTTTTAATCAAGAGAATCCTTCCAAAGCAAATTTGATCTAATTTTTAACCTTTTTTGTTGTTGCACATCACCTCTGCATCTTTGAGTAGGGGACCTGGTACAATGGAATTGCTGCACTGCAAGCCAGTCTGAAGCTTAGGCAGCAAAGCTGAGCACAGGAACACATAGGTACATTAAAAGGTCTGTTCACATCAACCTATATAGTATCTGCATGCATTGTTGTTTTATTTTTAAGGAGAAGTAAACTGATAAGAAACATTCTTTGAGAAAGCCATTCTAGCCTTGTAGAATAAGAATAGTTTTTAAATAGCTTAATGCTGAGTTTTCAGCCTCCAGATTGCTTAGAAGAGTTTCAAAGGTTAACAAGGTTTTCATGAAAATAATTCATTTTCACTCACTTTGAATAGCCCAGTTTGCTTTTTTCCTGCATTAGTGGGATAAATAGAAGTTGCTTAGCTTGCATTCTTCTTAGTACTCATTAAGTATTTCTATACTATCTCCTGCTACTCAACTCCTTTCTAAACAAGTTCTTATTTTCAAACTCCTTCTGTTTCAAAATCATTTAGTTGCCAGAATTACTCATTTCAAGAATGCTGTAAGAGGGAAGACAAGCACAAAATTATTCTTGGGTTGTTTTTGTTGATTTATGGGTGGAATTGTATTTTCTATTCTGTCCTTCTCAACTTCCCCACTCCTCATCCCACATGATATTTTCTTACTATCTATTCACAACACAATTTTTCCTACTAAGCTGATCATGGCAACATAAATAGTTACAGTTAATGTAAAATCCAGGAAAGCTTACAGGATACTTCAATTATTCCTTCAAAACTGTGTCCAACTTTATCAGCATTGCATTTCATCTGCTTCACATGGCCCATTTATTCACTTTGTTAACTCAGGTCATTCCCAATCATCCCTAGCTCTGATTAACTGAAATAATTCTCTGTTAAAAGAAAATGTTGCCACCTCTCAGATAGCATGCTCATCCCCCTCTTCAGATAGCATAAGTTTTAATACAGAGTGTTGGGGTATTATATCATTAGCCTATTGCCATTGATAAAGAAAACCTGACCATTTAATCCTGCTCAACCCCTTAATTTTTAACACACAACTACTTTAACTTCCCAAACTCTGTTCTGCTTTAGTAGCCTCTTGGTAGGCATGTTTTCACAAGAATTTTTCCTTTTAAAATCCAAATAAATTACATCAGCCATATGACTGGCTTAACTTCAGTGTATTAGAGAGGCACCATTTTCTTGCCCTGACTATATCCATCTCTTTCAGCACTGCTTCTTCTAAGCCACATGCTTTTTTTTTTAACCTTATGTATGTATTATGGCATATGGAGACCTCCCTGTCACACGTAAGGAGGGCAGTGATGTCTGAGCAAAAAGTACTTGCCTGATCAAAGTGAAATTCAGATGGAACTTAAGCAGTGAAATTCCAAGGTATATAACTCACAGGCACAACAGATGTCACTTCAGGGACAGAAGTAATTTTAACCTTGCATTTTGTTTTCCTAATTCCTGCTGCTCTGTACATGCAGCCACATGGTTATGGTGAAAACGAGACAGTGAGCACAGTCACTACCCTTCTTACGTGTGACAGGGAGGTCTCCATTTGCCATAATCCATGCATAGGGTTAAAAAAAAGAGACTCCCTTCTCTCCATCTGCTGAAGTTACTGAGTGCACACAGCCCACAGAGACTGTGGGTGCCAGCAATGAAACGCCAAAGCTGGGCCAGGCTTTACAGCAGCTCAGGGCCCAGCAGAGCTCACAGGCTCCACAGGCTCCACAGAGCTTCTAGCTGAAAAACTGAGTCACAGCTGGGCTGCCCAGAGTGCATGGCCCCTCAGCACACTACTGCCAAGCTACTCATAGTGACCTACTTCTTCCTGACCTGTTACAGTCACACTGCTGTCTGAGATGGGCATGCAGCCCACCTGCTGAAATTCTGAGGAGAGCTTCACAGTAGCTGAAATTGCTGGTGACAGGGAGACAGCTCCATGACAAAGCACAAACATGTGCCAACTTGGAGACCAATAGAGGTTTCCAAGCATATTAAAAGGTGCCTGCAGAGCCAGTCATGTTTCACAAAACCCAAGAGGGAAGAGAATGCACAGAGATGGGGGAAGAAAATAAAGGAGTTATCAAACAAGGTACAGGATTAATTTTGCTCTTACTTCCAACGCAGCTAACCACACTCCCCACCAGCTAGGACAGAAAAATCTCATCTGTGTCCATCTATCTGGGCAGTTCAAAGTATTTCAGTTTAGCAAAAAAATTTATAATACTTTAAAGTTATTAGTTCACGTTAACATCCTAAATACTTCATTTTACAGTTATTGCCAGATCCCCAACAGTTGAGAAATTTATCACTCTAAGCATGTCTTGACATTTTCAAAGCAGACTTTCAAAGCTGGATTGATTCAAAACAAATTCTTTCAGTAACCAGAATTCCACCACTCACAAAACCAATGAAAATGAAAAAAACAGCACATTTAGTAAAAGAAATCCAGTTAAGCATTTGCTTCGGCACAGCCTTTCCATGCACCACCCAGCACTAAGAGCATCCCCTCCCTGCCAAGACCCACCAGCACAAGCAAGGCATTGACATCCATCCAGGAGCACCAGTGATTCACAAGCCCAGCATTGATAAAGGAATCTCACCTAAAGGAATATCACCTATACAAACCTATATATCCACCCAATGCTCACCAGTTATATTTAGAGTATTCATTAGCATTTGCTTCGGCACAGCCTTTCCATGCACCACCCAGCACTAAGAGCACCCCCTCCCTGCCAAGACCCACCAGCACAAGCAAGGCATTGACATCCATCCAGGAGCACCAGTGATTCACAAGCCCAGCATTGATAAAGGAATCTCACCTAAAGGAATATCACCTATACAAACCTATATATCCACCCAATGCTCACCAGTTATATTTAGAGTATTCATTAGGCCAGCACTCTTAAGAAAGAAATCAGTATAACTGTGATATCTATAAGGAAGATTAATACTCATTTATGAGCCAAACTTGTCCTACCAAGCACTACATTATTTACTCAGGAGCTTTCATGATCCAACTCACGGTGTGTGCAGAGACTGCTTTTCTCGTGGCTACAGAAAGATTACAGCAGTTTCACCCCAGGCAGTCCAACACTTGAAAGAAGTGGGTACTGGTGCAGGGGGTTCACCAAAGTCTCAGCAAAAGTTTGTTGGAGATTAACTGGCACTTAAGGGATTGCTTGGTCCCCCCACATCAAGACAGAAACATGCTACATGCTGCTTATAACTATAAGTGCTCTAATTAGGCTGACTTGATTATTGTTCTGTGGTTTGATAGATGTTGTATTTAAAGTAATTTCAGGTACTAATTTTCAGACCTTTTTTGTGAACTAGTAAATCAAGTGCAATTTATTCAGAGAATTATTCTTTTCTTTCTTAATGTCTATTCCCTCTGGTTTGCAACTTTAATTAGAACCTGCTATCTGCTCATACTAGTAATGGCAACAGTTGTCACTAGAGTACAGATGCATAGATTCAGCTCATATTGCCACTTTGACTTTATATTTAAAACCTAACAATCTTCCCAGCTATACATGTGAGAATACTGTCCATTAATGCTTTATTTCACTGCCACCCTGAACTCTAGATTCAACACTAACAATCTGATTATTTTCTATATATTATTCAGAAATGCATTTTCTAAAGAATAGAAATAAAAAAAAAAAAAAGGAAAAAAAAAAGCTCTATTTGGAGATAAATATCTGCCTAAAAAGGTTATTCAATCTATCTAGATTTCTTTTTTATTGCTATAGATTTTCCCAAGGCAGTATTGTTTCTTGAATAATTATTGATCTAAGCAATTGTGTGCTAAAGTAGGCTGATTAATTTGTTAAACATATGCAC